TACTTTTGGTACACACTCCTTTCGTATTGGGGCGGCTACGGAGGCAGCTCGGTTGGGTCTGGGGGATGACATAGTGAAACGGATTGGGAGATGGGAGTCGGTACGGTTCCGTTCATATGTGCGTTTGGGTTTATTGGAGTAAGATGGGGAAGGGCCTTTGGGGGGATCCCCGGGGGCTGGGTGCATAAGGGGCTGTTATGATCTGTTTTCCTTCTCTCCCCCAGGCCGTGTCGCATGGATCGTGGGCCATTCATTTGTCTTCTGGGCCGAAAGGAGGGCTGCAGCTCGAGCTCAGGGCCACCAGCTGGGCTTTCATCGGGACCAGTTGGCAGTACAGTGGTTCGGGTACAGGGGTTTTTGTTGGGGGGAGGTCTGCGAAAGGGTGTTCCGGATGGTAGCAGGCGGGCAACGGCCGGACCTGCTGGTGCTCCATGCGGGGGGCAACGACTTGGGCCTCACTCCGCAGCGGCGGCTAGTGAAGTGGATGAAGCAGGACCTTAACGGTTTAAGGGACCTACTTCCGGGGGTGATGTTGGTCTGGTCGGAGATTATCCCTAGGAAGCGGTGGCGGCATGCTAGGGACCCGGAGGCTATTGACAGATGTAGGAAGAAAGTGAATAGCTTGATGGCAAGCTTCGTGCGGAAGCTAGGGGGTGTGGTAGTTCGACACAGCGAGTTGGAAGGTGGTTTGCCAGGGTACTACCGCTCGGATGGAGTCCATCTCTCGGCAGTTGGTTGGGATCTGTTGACCCTGGGCTGGCAGGATGGCATAACTAAGGCTCTTTTTCTTCGGGGTGGCGGAGCTCAGACAGCTTAAGGAGTCAAGGTCTGAGCTTGTGGCGGGATAGGGAGCTGAAGGAGAAGAAATAGGCTCCCTAGGATGAACGTCATGGAGACGTAAAACTGTGGTCATTGGTGGTTGGTAGGTTCCGAGTCCTGTCGGTGGCTCAGAATCTGGTGGGGCAGGGGTATCCGGGTATACCCCTGCCATGGTTAATTTATGTTTGGCACTTTAAGTTGGTATGTTGGAATATGTTGATACGTATGTTATATGTTATATGTATATGTATATATGTTATTTATATGGGGGTCATTGCCTGTTATATTAACAGAAGGATTCGGTTACGAGGGCGGAGTATGGGGGCAATGACCCATGTTTATTGTTAAAATTATTATTGCTTAATAAATTATTATTATTCAAGATTGGTTAAATAAAGCTGTGGACAAATTTTCCCATATACCTTTGTGTCAGTGAGTTATTGGGTTGGGTATGTGGGAGGGTTGTCCTGGAGTCCGACTGCCCATATGGCGACTATACACCGGTCAAGTGTTTTGAAACTTACTGTGCATAATAATTTGGAACAGTGCATTGTAAGTTTTTTATGTTTTAAAAAAATACTGTTATCATTAGGAGGTTTGTTCAATAAAATTTGAATTGTACTCTTAATAGTTGATAACATGAGCATTATGCTGACTGTTATTTAAATCAATTATTTAGGGTAAATGAGAAAAAATATAATTTGCATAATGATTTGGAACAGGGTGTATATAGCTGTAATTGCTATACATATGCACATAGGTAATGTGCGGTCAGGGACTCCCTGAGCAGTACAGGCCCCCACGGGATGGCCGGGCCCATGACAAATGTCAAGGTTCTTATTCCCTGATAGCAGCCCTGGGGGCGGAGACTAGTGGTAGGGCACAGGTTGGGGGGGTTTGCATAGAAGGAGACACACATATGGGGGTTTGCACAGGAGGAAGGGCACAGCCAGGTGGGGGGGTTTGCATAGGAGAGACACATATGAGGGTTTGCACAGGAGGAGAGACACAGATGGGGGGGTTGCACAGGAGGAGAGACACAGATAGGGTTTTGCATAGAAGGAGAGACACAGATGGGGAGACACAGAAGGAGAGACACAGGTGGGGGGTTGCAGAGGAGAGGCACACGTGGGCGGGTTGCAGAGAAGGAGAGGCATAGGAGGGTGTTTGCTGAGGAGAGACACAGATAGAGGGGAAGCTTGCAGAGAAGGAGACACACAGATGGGGCTGTTTGCCCAGGAGGTGAGACACAGATGGGGGTTTGCAGAGAAGGAGACACAGATGGGGGTTTGCAGAGAAGGAGAGACACAGATGGGGCAGAGAAGGAGAGGCACAGATGGGGGTTGCAGAGAAGGAGGCACATGGGGGTTGCAGAGAAGGAGAGACACAGATGGGGGGGTTGCAGAGAAGGAGAGACACAGATGGGGTTTGCAAAGACACAAGTGGAGGGAGTTTTCACAGAAGGAGAGGCACAGGTGGGTGAGGGTTTGCGCAGGAGGAGAGGCACTTAGGGGTTTTGCAGAGGAGGAGAGGCACAGGTGGGGTTTGCAGAGAAGGAAAGGCACAGATGGGGGATTTGCAGAGAAGGAGAGACACAGATGGGGGGGTTGCAGAGAAAGAGAGACACAGATGGGGGGGTTGCAGAAAAGGAGAGACACAGATGGGGGTTTGCCACCTCAGGGTGCCCCCCGAACCTGTATTAGGTAAGGCAGAGCAGGCACCAATGCCGGTGCCCAGAGGAGAGGGGGAACGGAGCAGGAAGGCGGCGAGGGACGCTGTTCTTGCAGCCTCTCACTCCTCCCTCGCGCTTCCTCTGTAATCCCGGGAGCTGGAATATGACGTCATTTCGGCCCCGGCATTCTAAACGGCATGCTGGAGGAGTGAGGAGCTGCTCCACACTGGACCCCAGCAGGGAGGTGAGTGTTTGAGTGTGTCAGTGAGTGTTTGAGTGTGTCAGTGAGTGTCTGCCTGTTTGTGTGTTTGTCAGTGAGTGTCTATGTGTGTGTCAGTGAGTGAGTGCATGTCTGTCAGTGAGTGTATGTCTGTCTGTCAGTCAGTAAGTGTCTGTGTGTGTGTCTGTCAGTGAGTGTGTGTATGTATGTCAGTGAATGTTTGTGTGTGTGTCAGTGAGTGAGTGTATGTCTGTCAGTGAGTGTGTTTGTGTGTCTGTCAGTGAGTGGCGGTATGTTTGTCAGTGTGTGTGTTTGTGTGTCTGTCAGTGTGTGTGTGTGTGTGTGTGTGTGTGTGTCGGTCGGTCAGTGAGTGTCTGTGAGTGAGTGTATGTCTGTCAGCGAGTGTGTGTTTGTGTGTCTGTCAGTGAGTTAGTGATATGAGGGGGCGGCAAAATGGATCTTTGCCTAGGGCGGCAGAAATCCTTGCCCCGGCCCTGTATGTGTCATAGATTTCGTTTTTCCAAAGTGCTTTGTGACGTCACATTGGATTTTTGTATTCAGGGACTTTCCACCAGCACTTTTTATCACCACCCCTGGCACATTATCACGTTCACAGTTTATTTTCAGCTTGCTGTGAATGATTTCCCCTCATACTCTCAGTCCGTTTTCCTCCATGTTCGTTACACACCCCTTTCTATATGGGACTTTTCACCTTTATCACACACGCTGGGTTGCGACGTTGTTTACCACATTCATTTTGACGCGATGATGTCACACGCGGTCCTCTCTCACTTCCAAGTTTCCAATCTGACAATGGGTCGACACCTCACTTGGTAACATTGGTAACTTGATTTTTTTTATATATTATCACGTTTATGCTTTTCACAGTGTGATCTTGAAAAAGACCCGCAGGGTCGAAACATCGAACGTCCACATTGATGTAAAGTAGCTGTTTTTTGCACATCAAAACTACTTTTTCTATTTAAGACCAGGAGTGAACCCATTCTTTCAAATCCCTTATATATTTTCGCTGGTTTGCACCTTGGCTGCAGATTTTTGATGTTAGAAAAGTACCAAGAATACTATATATATATATATATATATATATATATATATACATATACATACACATACACACACACACACACACACACACACACACACACACACACTTTGAAGTATGGAGCTGGAAATATTTTTTTTCCAAGGCTGGTTGGTCCGGTCCTGCCCAGGAAGCCCCTCTAGTAGCCATCTGAGGAGTGGCCAGCAAAGTTATCACTAGGCTGTAATGTAAACACTGCATTTTCTCTGAAAAGACAGTGTTTACAGCAAAAAGCCTGAAGCTAATGATTCTACTCACCAGAACAAATTCAACAAGCTGTAGTTGTTCTGGTGACTATAGTGTCCCTTATAGACTGAAAAAGTCCTAGTTGTTACTGTAGCCTAGCTCTCTCCATACCTCTCTCCACCATCCTCCATTCTCTATAGATTGTAAGCTTGTGAGCCGAGCTCACTCTATACCTTGTGTCCACCATCCCCCATACTCTATAGATTGTAAGCTTCTGAGCTCTTTATACCTTGTATCCTCCATTCTCTATAGATTGTAAGAGGACATTAAATTAGAGGGGCAAAGGTTTAAAAATATCAAGAAGTATTACTTTACTGAGAGGGTAGTGGATGCATGGAATAGCCTTCCAGCTGAAGTAATAGAGGTTAACACAATAAAGGAGTTTAAGCCTGTGTGGGATAGACATAAGGCTATCCTTACTATAAGATAAGGCTAGGGACTAATGAAAGTATTTAGAAAGTTGAGCAGACTAGATGGGCCGAATGGTTATCTGCCGTCACATTCTATGTTTCTATGTAAGCTTGTGAGCCGAGCTCTCTCTATACCTTTGCATCCTCCATGCTCTATAGATTGCAAGCTTGTAAGCCGAGCTCTCTCTATACCTTGGGTTTCACTGTCCACATTCCTCTAGATTGTGAGCTGAGCTCTCTCTATACCTTGTTTTACACTGTCCACATTCCTCTAGATTGTGAGCCAAGCTCTCTCTATACCTTGGGTTTCACTGTCCACATTCCTCTAGATTGTGAGCCGAGCTCTCTCTATACCTTGGGTTTCACTGTCCACATTCCTCTAGATTGTGAGCCGAGCTTTCTCTATACCTTGGGTTTCACTGTCCACATTCCTCTAGATTGTGAGCCGAGCTCTCTCTATACCTTGGGTTTCCCTTCCTGCTAGATTGTGAGCTTTTGATCGTATCTGTGACATATTGACAAACAATACACTATTGGAATTGTGAATTTATTTTATTTATTGTTACAATAATAAAATGCAATTTTTTGTTCAAGCTTTTTGATATACAAGATAATTTTTTTATATTTTTATGAAGCCAAACCACATTTAGTCTACATATTACCCTTTGGCATGAATATTTGTTGATCATCTGCCTGATTGGGCGTTATTCAATAGACCAAAAATTGTGTAGAATGAGAAGGGAATCGCATATTGTGGCTAGAAAATAGCTTGGGGTATTTTAGGTATTTTGATACATTTGCAACTCCATTGACAATTCTTCACAAATCCCAGTTTAATGAAAAATGTTTGTGTGGACACAGCACAAGCATCGTGACCGCATAGACTCAGGTCAGTCACTCTAAAGAAGAGCTGTAACCAAATTGTGGAATCTTTTCATAGACAGTGAAGTAACACTGTTATTATAATCCATTTTAGGAATATGGAGAATGATTGCACAGCTAATGTTACAAAAGAACATCATAATTTTATTAAACCCAACGTTTGTCAGTCTGGCCCTGGAACATGCCATCTGGCTCTGGAACATGCAGCCAGTTTCACCGAAGATGAGCCCATTCACCTCAATAGTAAGTAGAATTATATAACATAAGAGTTTCACAGGTTAGTTGAAGAATATGGTCTAGTTACTAAAGTCGTCAGTTAACATAAAATCTGTACGTAAAACACATTTTGATACAAAGTAGAAAATAATCAGCATTCATACATGATAGTCTTTTAAGAGGATCCAAAATCTTTAATGAGAAAATTTAGATCAATGTTCCTGTTCTGTCAATAAAAAAGGACCTGATTCGACATTGCTTTGTAAATATTCATCATCTCTCTTTTAGTGGGGTTATTTTTGGATTGAAGAAATACACCTGCAATAGAGCCAGAACCATCTAAGTACTTCTTCACTGAATCAATCTGAAAATGACGCTGGAAGAAGAAGACGCTGGACGTCCATAGGAAAGCATTGAGTAATGCTTTCCTATGGTTTGAAGGCTCTTGCCGTGCCTGTGCATTCAGATCTGACGTCGGCAGGGGGAGGAGAGGTCACCAGAGCCGATGGAGCCCAGCGCTGGAGAAAGGTAAGTGGCTGAAGGGGTTTTAACCCCTTCAGCCCAGCGGGAGGGGGAGACCTAATGACCCTATAGTGCCAGGAAAACAAGTTTGTTTTCCAGGCACTATAGTGGTCCTTTAAATGTGAGATTACTGCTCCTCTCTTCTGTCTCTTTAATAATGGTGGTTATAATTTTGAAGATCTCTTCCCATGTTAGAACTTTAGACTCAAACTTCTCAATTAGCTCCTTTCTCTTGGTTTCTGTAACATATCTAGAGTGCAGGAGTTCCCAGAGTGAATGAGATTGTCCTGCTAATTTAAATTCTCCAATGCTGACCTGCACAGTGACAGACTTTAAGAAGTCTTCTGTGGTTCTCTCATGTACCTGAGTATCTGTTTTAATTGTTGTTTGTGATGCGTTAGTTAGGATTGTACTGACTTCTACAATTGTTCCATAGTACTTTGTTAGGAATGCTTGACGTTTGTCATCACTGATGTTCTTAGAATGCAATATGTCCCATAGAGATATGTTCCTATTATGGAACTCCCTGCTGGAGATGGAAACAGATAATGACTGCAGGGACTTTTCAATTGGTTTGGGAAGGAAATAATGTTCAACATTTCCTGATTTAATGGTTATAGCACGATGACTTGACACTTTTACATTCGTTTTCTCTGCTTCCACTATGACGGTAATAATACACTTCATGAGGTCTTCAAGAGTCAAAGTTCCACTTTCAAATTTTACAAGGAGCTCATCCTTTTTCTCATTTGTGAAATATGATGAATGTAGCAGCTGCCAAAGTGAACTTTTCTGACTTGGGTTACTACCCACTGTCACATCCACCTCGACTGCCATCAGGGAGTTTTGAGTTTGAATGCGGTTTGATGTTAACTCTGTGTCTTCAGATAAAAGATCAGTGTCTTTAAATAAACTGCTTTCAGCAGATTTGGGTGAGCTGGTAGTGCCTTCACCTTCTTGAATGATGTTGGTGCAAACGCTCATAATCTCATTGACTGTATGTTTGTATGTTTGTAATAGTTCCTTCCTCTTTTCAACAGACACACTCTCACTATGCAGAAGATCCCAAACAGAAACACTACTTTCTTGAATTTGAGTTTGGCTGTGATGCTCTGTAATTTTGGATGGAATAATTTCCAAGGCTTTCTGAAGCTGGTCTTCTGTAGGCCACTGACTAGCTTCAATGGAAACTGATGACCCCTTAATCTCCTCTGTAATAAACTGTGTCTTTGTAGTTACATGTTCTATTGTTTCTACCTTTGTCTTTTGAATAATGGTTATGATTATTTTAATTAGTTCCTCAATCGTCAAGTTTCCTGATTTGAACTTAGTCAACAAATCGATTCTTTCATTCTCAGAGATATATTTTGAGTTTAAAAAGTCCCACACTGACATGGATTCTTCTTGAATGCCTTCTTTGGAGATATTAATATGAACGGACTGAAGTGATTCCTGAATTTCCACATCTTGCTTTGTAGAACCAAAATCTTGACTTTGTCCTTTCCTTGTCTCTGTAATGATGGTAATGATAATAATTTTGAGTTCCTCAATTGTTAAAGTGCCAGACTGGTATTTTTTAAGAAGTTCTTCTCTTTTCTCTGCTGAAATGTGCTGAGAATACAAAACATCCCAAAGAGACATCTCCTTGTCTTCATCACCAGTCATATGAAAAGTATACGACTGCAATATATTTTTTTGTTGGTGGTCAATTTGGAAAGAAGTTTTTCTCTCATTCACATCCAACATAAAAAGACCAGTATCTGGATCTTGAACACACCTCTGAAGAAGTTGTAGATATGTGAGGTTCTCATGAGTATTGGGGTCAAATAATCCTTTGGTGTCATCTGAGGGATCAGAAAGTATTTGATTCATCTCTTCGTCAAAGTAGCCACGTTTATAAGCCACTTCCACAGGTACACGGTGGCTGTGGATAGGATCGATAATACCTCCAGTGGCAATCTGAGCTTCCAAGAGACGGATGCCATGGTCCTTCACAATCAGATCTTTTTTCATGGCCTGGAAGAGGGAGATTTTCTCTCCAGTGTAAGGGTCTTTGTAGCCTGTAACTCCTCTCTCTGCAGACAGAAGTTTATCATAAATCTCATGACCAATTAGTCCAGCAGATAAAGCTTCATCCACAGAAAGTCTCTTATTCTGTATTGGGTCAATTACAAACCCAGTAGCTGCTTGAGCTTCAAGGAGAACAAGAGCAGTCCCTGGCCTCAATACACGCTTTAACATGGCATCGTAAATACTCATCTTTTCTCGCTCTGAGGAATCTTTCTTAGAGGTAACAAATACACCAGAAATACAGTTGGTTCCTTCAAGGTACCTCTTAACAGATTCCATCTGAGTGACTTGCTCAAAAGTTCTGCTCCCCTGGCTCAACTCATTCATAGTAGTCTGATCAATTATGTTAGACTCAAGCAGCTCTTTAGCAGAGACCTTTGTCCTGAGACCCTGGAACTCCAAACCAGTAATCCTTTCTTCTGTCTCCTCAATGATGGTAATAATGAACCGTAACAGTTCATCCTCTGTAAATTTCCCTGCTTTGTACCATTCCAGCAGTTCTTTCCTCTTCTCGTCACTAATGTACTTGGAGTGAAGCAGAAACCACACAGAAAGTTTTTGTCCTTTGAATTCCCCAATATTTATCTCCGTAATTCTCAATTCCAATGCTTGCTGGATCTCTTCATCAGATTTTCCTTCTGCACCTTCAACAATTTTAAGAATAACTTTTTTCAATTTGTTCACAGTGGCCCGATGCTTGTCCAGCTCACCATCTCGTTTATCTTCTGAAAGATATTTAGAGTGGAGAATATCCCAGAGAGACACCTTCTGCTCCCTCAACTTTCCTGCTGCAACATGGACTGTAATAGCATTTAAAGCTTTACGAAGTTGTTCATCTGTCTGTGTGTAAACAACGGGACTAAGAGAAAAGGATTCAGTGCCAAGACTGAGAGTTTTTGTTACTGTAATTTCACTGTCTGTTTCAGAAGTTATGGTTGTGACGATTTTAATAATTTCTTCAAGAGTCCAAACTCCCGTTGTGTACTTATGGAGAAGTTCCTCTCTCTTGCTTTCTGTGAAATATTCAGAGTTTAGTAGGTCCCACACTGACAGCTGCTGACCGTGGAACTTGCCTGTAGTAATAGAAACAAGTGCAGATTGAAGGTCAGATGGCTGATTTTGTTTCATAGCTTGTTGGTCTGACTGGCTAACACTGGACCCATTTACGTACTGGCTGCTTTTTTTGTTTTCCCATTCTTCGATGATACTCAAGATAGTTGAGGTTAGCTCCTCAATAGTAATAGTACCAGAACTGTATTTCTTTAGAAGTTCTTGTTTTTTCTCCACTGTTTCTGTGAAATACACAGAGTTAAGAAGCTCCCAAATGGATATATTCTGTCCAGTGTATTGGCCAACTTTAATTTGGACAGTTTGTGACCTTAAGGATGATTCCCTTTGCTGGATACTGGGAGCAGTTTTCTGCTTAATTTCTAGTATGCACAGACCGGTATCTGGATCTTGGACACATCTTTGGAGAAGTTGCAGGTAAGTGAGGTTCTCATGTGTATTTGGGTCAAAGAATCCCTTTGTGTCATCCATGGGATCAGACAGAATCTGGTTCATGTCTTCATTGAAGTAGCCACGTTTATAAGCCACTTCAACTGGTACTCTGTGACTGTGCACAGGGTCGATGATGCCACCTGTGGCAATCTGGGCTTCTAAAAGACGGATGCCATGATCTTTGACAATTAGGTCTTTTTGCATGGCCTGAAACAGGGAGATCTTATCGCCAGTATAGGGGTCGGTATATCCAGTTACTGCCCTCTCTGCAGAAAGGAGCTTTGCATGAAGTTCATGTCCAAAGATGCCAGCCTCTGAGGCCTCATCTACAGAAAGTTTCAGATTTTTCACGGGGTCAATGATAAAACCAGTAGCTGCCTGTGCCTCCAGAAGCACTAGTGCTGTCCCTGGCCTCAAGATGTTCCTTAACATGGCATTATATATGCTCATTGTATCCTTTTTAAAAGGATCTTTACTGGATGTAACTAGAATTCCTGCAATAGAGCTTCTCCCTTCTAGGTATCTTTTTACTGAGTCCATTTGGGTCACTTCTTCTACAGTTTTTCTTCCCTGAGCTAGTTCTGTCAGAGTTGCCTGATCAATTATTTCAGAACTAAGCAGCTCATTAGCAGTTACTTGTCTCCTGAGGCCTTTAAACTTTAAAATTTTACTGCGCTCTTCTATCTCTTCAATGGTCGTAATAATTATTTTGATTAGTTCATGTACTTTTAATGACCCAGAATTTATCTTCTCTAGCAATTCCTTCTTTTTTTCCTCTGAAAAGTATCTTGAACTCAGGAGATCCCATACAGAAAGTCTCTGACCCTTGAAGTCTCCTATAGAAACTTCAACCTGGACAGTCTGTATAATATTAAATACCTCATCTTTCAGGTTATATTTTGCCTTTAAAGATTTGTTGCTCCCATATTCCACTTCTTCAATAGACTGAATAACTATCTCCATAATGTCTTGAACAGTTAATTTGTAATTCCCAAGAAGTTCCTTTCTTCTGCTCTCAGGAACGTAATTAGAATTAAGAATGTCCCACACGGAAACCAGTTGGCCTTGAAATTGTCCTTTGTTCACCTGGATGATAATACTCTCTAAGGCTCTCTGAATTTCATCATCATGCACAGATTGGTCAGATTTCACTGTTTGTTGTACAGATGTTTGTAGAGTTTTCTGCAATGTCTCTCTATGAATGACCTCATCATGCACAGAATGATCCGATTTCACTGTTAACTCCGAAGATAATTCTACAACCTTGCTGGCTTCTGGTTTTATGATGATAGTCACAAGAGTAATAATTTCTTGTACAGTCAAAGTTCCCGATTTTGCTTTTTCCAACAGGTCTTTCCTTTTTTCTTCTGTGATGTAAGAAGAGTGGAGAATCTCCCACAATGAAATGCTTTGCCCTTTGAATTCACCATCAAATATCTCTACCATTTCCGACTTGAACTCTGTCTCAATAATGATTGTGATAAGGATATCTATAAGTTCCTCTATGGACAGACTGCCAGATGTGTACACCTTCAATAGTTCTTCTCTTTTCACATCTGAAATGTACTTTGAGTTGAGAAGTTCCCAGATGGAAACATTTTTGTCATGGAAGTAACCAATTTTTGTTTGAAGAGTTCTGGACTCCAGATGAGTTTGTGTTTGGCTACGGAGAGGCGATACCTTACTGTCATTTACATCCAGAAAATACAGACCTGTGTCTGGATCTTGAATACATCTCTCCATTAATTGAATATATGTGAGGTTCTCATGAGTATTGGGATCGAAGAATCCCTTGGTATCGTCAGAAGGATCAGAGAGGATCTGGCTCATTTCCTCATCAAAGTAGCCACGTTTATAAGCCACTTCCACAGGTACACGATGGCTGTGAACTGGATCAATAATACCTCCAGTGGCAATCTGAGCTTCCAAGAGACGGATGCCATGGTCCTTCACAATCAGATCTTTTTTCATGGCCTGGAAGAGGGAGATTTTCTCTCCAGTGTAAGGGTCTTTGTAGCCTGTAACTCCTCTCTCTGCAGACAGAAGTTTATCATAAATCTCATGACCAATCAGTCCAGCAGATAAAGCTTCATCCACAGAAAGTCTCTTATTCTTCATCGGGTCAATTACAAACCCAGTAGCTGCTTGAGCTTCAAGGAGAACAAGAGCAGTACCTGGCCTCAATACACGCTTTAACATGGCATCATAAATACTCATCTTTTCTCGCTCTGAGGAGTCTTTCTTAGAGGTAACAAATACACCAGCAATACAGTTGGTTCCTTCAAGGTACCTCTTAACAGATTCCATCTGAGTGACTTGCACAAAAGTTCTGCTCCCCTGGCTCAACTCATTCATAGTAGTCTGATCAATTATGTTAGACTCAAGCAGCTCTTTAGCAGAGACCTTTGTCCTGAGACCCTGGAACTCCAAACCAGTAATCCTTTCTTCTGTCTCCTCAATGATGGTAATAATGAACCGTAACAGTTCATCCTCTGTAAATTTCCCTGCTTTGTACCATTCCAGCAGTTCTTTCCTCTTCTCGTCACTAATGTACTTGGAGTGAAGCAGAAACCAAACAGAAAGTTTTTGTCCTTTGAATTCCCCAATATTTATGTCCATAATTCTCAATTCCAAAGCTTGCTGAATCTCTTCATCCGTTTTTCCTTCAGCACCTTCAATTAACTTAAGAATAGCTTGTTTCAGATTTTCCACAGCAATGCGATGCTTATTCAACTGGTCTACTCGTTCACTTTCAGAAATGTATTTGGAGTGGAGAATTTCCCAGAGAGACACCTTCTCTCCTTTGAGTTCTCCCATTGGAGCAATAATGGTGAAAGCACTTAATGCTTTGCAAAGTTGTTTATCTGTTTCTGTTAAAACCGTTTCATCAGCCTTGATGGGAGAAGTGATTTTTTCTGTAATTTTTGTCTCTTCTGTTTCATTAATTATGGTTGTTGTAAGTTTAGTGATCTCTTCAAGATTCCAAACTCCTGTTGTGTATTTATGGAGAAGTTCCTCTCTCTTGCTTTCTGTGAAATATTCAGAGTTTAATAGGTCCCACACTGACGGCTGTTGACCATGGAACTTGCCTGTAGTAATAGAAACAAGTGCAGATTGAAGGTCAGATGGCTGATTTTGTTTCATAGCTTGTTGGTCTGACTGGCTAACACTGGACCCATTTACGTACTGGCTGCTTTTTTTGTTTTCCCATTCTTCGATGATAGTCAAGATAGTTGAGATTAGCTCCTCAATAGTAATAGTACCAGAACTGTATTTCTTTAGAAGTTCTTGTTTTTTCTCCACTGTTTCTGTGAAATACACAGAGTTAAGAAGCTCCCAAATGGATATATTCTGTCCCATGTATTGGCCAACTTTAATTTGGACAGTTTGTGACCTCAGGAAAGATTCCCTTTGCTGGACACTGGGAGCGGTTTTCTCCTTAATTTCTAGCATGCACAGACCGGTAACTGGATCTTGGACACATCTTTGGAGAAGTTGCAGGTATGTGAGGTTCTCATGTGTATTTGGGTCAAAGAATCCCTTTGTGTCATCCGTGGGATCAGACAGAATCTGGTTCATGTCTTCATTGAAGTAGCCACGTTTATAAGCCACTTCAACTGGTACTCTGTGACTGTGCACAGGGTCGATGATGCCACCTGTGGCAATCTGGGCTTCTAAAAGACGGATGCCATGATCTTTGACAATTAGGTCTTTTTGCATGGCCTGAAACAGGGAGATCTTATCGCCAGTATAGGGGTCGGTATATCCAGTTACTGCCCTCTCTGCAGAAAGGAGCTTTGCATGAAGTTCATGTCCAAAGATGCCAGCCTCTGAGGCCTCATCTACAGAAAGTTTCAGATTTTTCACGGGGTCAATGATAAAACCAGTAGCTGCCTGTGCCTCCAGAAGCACTAGTGCTGTCCCTGGCCTCAAGATGTTCCTTAACATGGCATTATATATGCTCATTGTCTCCTTTTTTGAAGGATCTTTAATCGATGGAACCAGTATTCCTGCAATAGAGCTTCTTCCTTCTAGATATCTCTTTACTGAGTCCATCTGGGTCACTTCTTCCAATGATTTTGTTCCCTGAGCCAGCTCTGTTAACGTGCTCTGATCAATGATTTCAGAAATGAGTAGCTCATTAGCAGTTACTTGTCTCCTGAGGCCTTTGAATTTAATTGTTTTACTTTTCTCTTCTGTCTCCTCTATAATTGTGATAATAATTTTGATGAGTTCATCTATATGTATCTCTCCAGAATTTAACTTTATTAGCAACTCCTTCCTTTTCTCTTCGGAAAAGTATCTGGAGTTCAGGAAATCCCAGACTGATAGCGTTTGACCTCTGAGTTCACCTACAAAAACTTCAAACTGCACAGTTTGTATAAGATTGAAACCTTCTTCCTTCAAGCTGTATTTTGCCAATATAGATTTATGACTCTCTTGTTCGAGCTCTTCAACAGTCTGAAGTACCATCTCAATTATATCCTTGATAGTTAATTTGTAATCATCAATCAGCTCTTGTTTTATTCCATCAGGAATGTGTTTGGAGTATAGAAGGTCCCATATTGAAAGCGCTTGTCCTTGAAGCTCTCCTTTCTGGACCTGAATAGTAATACTCTGTAAAGCTGTTTGGATTTCATCATCAGACACCATTGGTTCAGATTTCACTGTAGGTTGCACAGATAATTCTACACTTTGCTGCAACTTCTCTATCTTGCCGACTTCTGTCTCTGTAATGATAGTAATAATAAGGGTAATAATTTCTTGTATGCTCAATGTTTTTGACTTTAGTTTTTCCAATATGTCTTTTCTTCTTTCTTCTGTGATGTAATATGAGTTCAAAAGCTCCCACAATGATACACTTTGTCCTTTGAAGTCACCAACAGATACATTCACCTTTTCTGACTGGAGAAGCATTTTTATTTGTTTATCTTGACTCACAGAGTCTGTTGTGTCTGTTGATATAAATGTTACCTCTGTCTCGGTAATAATTCTGAGAAGGATAGTTATAAGTTCCTCCACGGACAAATTGCCAGAAGTGAATTTCTTTAGAAGCTCTTCACGTTTTTCTACTGAAATGTACTTTGAGTAGAGAAGTTCCCAGATGGAGACATTTTTGCCTTGGAGATAACCAGTTGTTACTTGAATAGTTCTGGACTGCAGCTGAGTTTGGCTCTGGACAGGAGCTGTCTTGGTGTACTTTACATCCAGTAAATACAGGCCTGTGTCTGGATCTTGAATACATCTCTCGAGTAACTGCTTGTATGTGAGATTCTCATGAGTACTTGGATCGAAGAAACCCTTGGTATCGTCAGAAGGATCAGATAGAATTTGGTTCATCTCTTCATCAAAGTAGCCACGTTTATAAGCCACTTCCACAGGTACACGGTGACTGTGAACTGGATCAATGATTCCTCCAGTGGCTATCTGAGCTTCCAGGAGACGAATGCCATGGTCCTTCACAATCAGATCTTTTTTCATGGCCTGGAAGAGAGAGATTTTCTCTCCAGTGTAAGGGTCATTGTAGCCTGTAACTCCTCTCTCTGCAGATAGAAGCTTGTTGTAAATCTCATAGCCAATCAGTCCAGCAGATAAAGCTTCTTCTACAGCCAATTTTCTGTTCTTTATTGGGTCAATAACAAACCCAGTAGCTGCCTGAGCTTCAAGAAGGACGAGAGCTGTCCCTGGCCTCAATACACGCTTTAACATAGCATCATAAATACTCATCTTTTCCTTTTTCTCTGGATCATTTTTGGCAGTGACCAACACCCCAGCAATGCTGCTTGTTCCTTCTAGGTATCTCCGAACAGAATCTAATTTAGCAACATCAGTCGCAGTCTGTGTTTCTTGTTTTAAACCTTCAAGTGTTTCTTGGTTAATAATTCCAGCATTGTACAATTCAGATGCTTTCACCTGTTTCCTCAAACCCTGGAACCAGATATCACCCTGGCTCTGTTCCTTTTCTTCAATAATTGAAACAATGGTGTTAAAGATGTCTTTAAGGGTGGATGATGTCTTGGTTTTGTATATCTTTATAAGTTCCTTTCTTTTGTCTGCTGAGATGTAAGAAGAGCACAGCAGTTCCCACAGGGAAATATCTTGGCCTTTAAATATCCCTGCATTCAGGTGGACACTGGTGGTTGTCAGAATATGTTTTGTTTGCTCATCAATATAAAAGTAATCATCACATTTCTCAGCCAATGGAAGTAAATAAAGTCCACTTTTAGGGTCTTTAATACATCTCTCAAGCAAATTTGCATAGCTTATTCTTTCATGTGTATTAGGATCCACAAATCTCTTTTTATTGACAGCATTTGATACTGATATATAGGTGTCTTCATCCAAACATCTCCTCCTAAACGCCACATCTAAAGGAACTCTGTGATTGTGGATTGGATCGATCACTCCACCAGTTGCAATTTGGGCTTCCAATAAGTAAAGTCCTTGTTCTTTATGTAATATGCCTTTTTCCACAGCCTGGAAAAGAGAGATTTTGTTTCCGGTCAGTGGATCAGTAAACCCAGTAACTGCTTTCTCAGCTATTTCCAGCTCTTCTTGAATATCAGACGTAACAAGACTGGCAGAAAGTGCTTCTGTGATGGAAAGCCTCTCATTCTTGGTGGGATCAATGAGAAATCCAGAAGCTGCTTGTGCTTCCAGAAGTATCAGGCCAATGTCTTTTTGCAGAATACCTCTGTTAATAGCACTAGAGATGCTTATGACCTCATTGTTGGGTAGCACCGTAACACCAGCTATGCAACCTGTTCCTTCCAGGTATCTTTTCACTGAGTCCATTTCAGCAACGCTTTCTGCTGTGATCTGGCCTTCTGTCAAATTATTAAGGGTCTTTTTGTCAATTATGCCTGCAGTGAATAATGATGTGGCAGTGACTTCACCTCTGATTCCCTTAAATTTCACACTGCTGCTTTTACTTTCATGTTCCTGTACAAGAGCTGTGAGACGAGATATCAGCTCATCTTTGCTGAGGACCCCCACTGAGTAAAGTTTCACTAATTCCCGTCTCTTTAGGTCTGTGATATACTCGGAGGTCAGAACTTCCCAGACAGATACTACTTGACTAGAGAACTTTCCAAAGTGAATTTCAAATGTTATTGATCTTAAGTCTTTTTTTATTCTGTCTGTGAAATAGAAGTAGTTCTCCCCCTTCTTCACCACCTGCAGAAGATATAATCCAGTTTCTGGATCTTGGATGCATCTTTCTACAAGCTGTAGATAAGTAAGGTTCTCATGAGTGTTTGGATCAAAGAACCCTTTTGTATCATCATCTGGATCAGACAGGATCTTGTTCATGTCCTCATTAAAATAACCACGCTTATAGGCCACCTCTACAGGCACTCTGTGACTGTGCACAGGGTCAATAATGCCACCAGTGGCAATCTGGGCTTCCAGGAGCCGGATTCCGTGGCACTCGACAATAAGTTTTTTCTGCATGGCTTGAAAGAGGGAGATTTTTTCTCCAGTGTAATGATCTTTGTACCCAATTACAGCCTGTTCAGCAGAGAGAAGCTTAGCATATACATCATGTCCTATTAGTCCACTGGCCTTAGCTTCATCTACTGAAAGCCTTTCATTTTTCACTGGATCGACCATAAAACCTGTAGCCGCCTGAGCTTCTAAAAGGACCAGGGCAGTTCCTGGCCTCAAAATATGCTTTAGCATTGCTTCATAAATGCTCATTTTCTTATTGGTAGATTGTATAAGAACTCCTGCAATGCAATTAGTTCCTTGAAGATAGCGCTTTACATTGTCCATTTCTGTCACTTCATCGATGGTTTTTTTACCCAGGTTAAGCTCATCAAGGGTTTTCTTGTCAATAACCTCTGACTGAAACAAGTCACTAGCGGATACCTGTTTCCGGAGACCTTTAAACTTCAGCTTGTTGCTTGTTGTGTCTGTCTCTTCTATTATGCTAGTGATAGATTTTGTAATCTCTTGAATAACTTCAGAATTACTGCTTTTGTACATAGCTATTAGTTCTTTCAGTTTGCTGATGCTGATGTATTCGGAATTGAGAAGGTCCCAGAGAGAGACTGTTTGACCTTTGAATCTTCCAGTCTGGGCTGTAAATTCTGCAGATTTCAGAAGTTCGATAATGTGGGCATCTGTATATAAAGCAGCACTTTCTGGAATAGACAAGAGTAGGTGACCAGTCTCTGGATCTTTATAGCATCTTTCTTTCAGTTGACAGTAACTCAGTTTTTCTTTAGTGTTTGGATCAAAGTATATTTTTAGATCATTTGTAGACACAGATGTTTCTTCATCCAGCAAACCCAGTTTGTAAGACTGTTGCACTGAGACATACAGGCAGTGGACTGGGTCAATGATGCCACCTGCTGATAACTGAGCCTGCAGCAGTGGTACGCTCTCTTTGTCTGGAATGAGACCCTTGCTGATCATTTTTCCCAGAGAGATTTTATTTCCAGTGTACGGATCGTTGTACCCAGTCACTGCTCTTTCTGCAGCCAAGAGCGTTTCATGAAGTTCGGGTCCCACCAAGCCAGCTTTCACTGCATCATTCACTGTGTATTTCTGATTCTTTGCTGGATCAATTAGATATCCAGTGGCAGCCTGAGCTTCCAGAAGCATCAGTGCATTGGCGGGTAGGATAATGTTCTTTTTCATTGCCTGATAAATGTCTATTTTCTCTTTTGTGGACTCTAGGAAAACGCCAGATATGGAGCCTGAGCCCTGTAAGCATTTCTTAACACTTTCAATCTGTGATACTATCTCAATGGATGTCATGCCTTGTACAAGTTCATCAAATGTTTTTTGAGTAATAATATTTAAATCAAGCAGGAACACAGCAGGGACCTTTCCCCGTAGACCCTGGAAACTAATGTGAGTGGTCTTTTTGATTTCGTTAGCCTTGACAATTTGCAGGATTTCTGTAGTTAGCTCTTCTATTCTTATTCTCTTAGACTTGTATTTTTCTAGGATCTCATACATCTGTTCTACAGTGAAATATCCATAGTGTATCAGATCCCACAATGTTGCATTTCGTTCCTCGATTCTGATGCTGCTGAATGTCTGCTTTACTTCCTCATCAGAGTAACTGCCTTCTGGAACTTCAATGAAATCTTGAGGCAAAGGGAAAAAATAAATGCCAGTATCTTCATCCTTCACCGCGCGGCTTAACAACTCTGCATACGTCACCATTTGTTTGATGGTGGGATCATAGTAGGCTTTCGTGACCCCAGTGGGGTTGGATAGACTGTTATGTACTTCTTCATTCAGGTATCCATGTTTTTTGGCTACAGACTCTGGGAGATGAAGGCTGTTAATTGGATCAATTATTCCACCAGTGGCAAACTGTGCTTCTAAAAGCTGCATGGTGCGTTTTTCATCTAGTAGACCTTTTCGCATTGCTTGGAATAGTGATATTTTTTTTCCTGTGTATGGGTCTCTATATCCTGTCACAGCCTCTTCTGCAGAGAGAAGCCTATCATAAATCTTAGGTTCAATGATGCCTACTTTCAGGGACTCATCTACGGAAAGCTTCTGGTTGTTTGCTGGATTAATCAGATGTCCTGTAGCGGCCTGGGCCTCAAGTAATGGTAGGACTGTGCTAGGGAGCAGGATGTTCCTCTTCACTGCCTCATAAAAGTCAATTCTCTGTTTAGATGGTTGAATTATTACACCACCAAGGACTCCAGATCCATGCAAGTATTTCTGGACCCTCTCCATTTTCAGTAGATCCTCTGCGGATAATTTTCCATGCAAAACCTGTTCAAACAGCTCTTTATCGATGATCTCATACTCTAGAAGCTGGTACAAGCTGACCTGTTTTCTAAGTGCAGGGAAACGTATATCAGTCCATTTCTGCATTTCCTCTTCAATTAAAGTGGTAATTTGTTCCAGTGTAACCTTCCTCAGTCGGAACTTTTCTATGAGTTCTCTCCTTTTCCATTCAGCAAAATACTCTGAGTTAATTAGAACCCAGGCTGAAACGGTTCGTCCCCTGAGTCTTCCATATTTCACGAAAATCTCTAGGTTTCCAAAAGACTCTTTGATGTAATTGTTAATGCTAAACTGTAGCTTCTTGCTTTGCAGTGGAAGGAGGCAGAGATTTGTCGATGACTCATGAATGCACCTTTCTTTCAGCTGCAAATAAGTGAGATTTTCATGGGTGTTTGGGTCAAAGAAGCCTTTAGTGTCATCACTTGGATCTGAAAGGATTATGTTCATTTTTTTATCAAAATATCCCCGTTTATAAGCAACTTCTACAGGGATTCTGTGGCTATTTTTCGGGTCAATGATACCTCCTGTAGCAATCTGTGCTTCTAAAAGCCGAATTCCATGTTCTTCCACAATTAATCCCTTGTTCATGGCCTGGAACAGAGAGATAACATCCCCTGTGTATGGATCGTTGTAACCAGTTACTGCTTTTTCTGCAGATAGCAGCTTCTCATAGAAATCTGACCCAATTACATTGGCCTTCAGAGCCTCGTCAACTGAATATTTCTTGTTCTCTACGGGATCAATAATGAAACCTGTTGCTGCTTGGGCTTCCAGAAGTATCAGTGAGGTCCCAGGCCTTAAAATGCCTTTCCGTTTTGCTTGGTAAATGCTTATTTTTTCTTGGGTATCTGTAAGAATCAATCCACTGATGCCACCTGTTCCATCAAGATATTTCTTTACTGTGTCAATATTCACCACCTCTTTCGCTGAGGTTTCACCATGCTCAAGCTTTTCAAACAAATCCTTGTCAATGATTTCAGAGTCCAGCAGTTGACCAGGAGTAACAGATTCTCTTAGTCCTCTGAATGTGACCTTAGTAGTAGACACTAGGTCAGTTATGGCCTTGTTAACCTTGGTAGATAGTTCTTCTAGTGTATGGCCACCTGATTTATAGAGCTTAATCAAAGACTCCCTCTGCTCGATTGTAAAATATTCAGAGAAAAGCAGATCCCACAGAGAGATTTCTTGTCCTTTGTATTTCCCCAAGGTTACTGTTAATTTGGTAGATTTCAAAGCCTTTTTGGTCTGGCAATCTATGAATGAATGAGGTGTTTTAAGTGCATCTTGAGTATTATCAAATACTGGAATGAGGTAGAGCCCTGTTTGGATGTCAACAAGGCATCTCTCCAGCAACTGTTCATAGGTAACATTTTCTTTTGAATTGGGGTCAAAGAATCCTTTAATATCACTTGTTGGTCTGCCTAAGCTCTTGATGACCTCATCATCAAGATATCCACGGGCATGAGCCACATTGTATGGCATGCGATGTTTCCTTACTGGATCAATGACACCGCCAGTTGCGACCTGAGCTTCTAGAAGATGGAGACCATGGTCTTTCAAAATTAAACCCTTTTGCACAGCATGGAGGAGTGGAAGAATATTCCCAGTATAAGGATCCAAAAATCCTGTAGCAGCTTTTTCAGCGGAAAGTAGCTTTTCATGCAACTCAGGTCCAACCAATCCACTTTTTATGGCATCAGTCACGGAGAGTTTCAAATTCTTCACTGGATCCAGCAAAAATCCAGTGGCAGCCTGGGCTTCTAGCAATGCAATGGCAGTGCCTGGCATGAGTAAGTGTTCTTTCATTGCTTCGTAAATGCTTCTTCTCTCATTGGTGGAAACCACAGCCACTCCGGCAATACACCCAGTCCCATGTAGGTACCCTTTCAACGTCTCCTGTTGAGCGACGTCATGTGCTGAAATCTTTCCCTGTTGTAAGTTTTCATAAGTTTCCTTATCAATGATTAATGACTCGAGCAAGTCTTTACCTGTAGCTGAACCCCTTAGGCCTTGGAAAGTGACTTTTAAAGGGAGCAGGTAGAGATTTGTATCGGCATCAATGGTGCATCTTGTCCTGAGATCCTGATAACTGACTCTGTCATTTGTGTTTGGATCCACAAACCCCTTTGGATTCTTCACCGTGTCAGATATTAGTTGAGCCATCTCCTCATCAAACAAACCTCGAGAATAAGCAACCTCCACTGGAACATGGAAACTGTGTATTGGATCAATTATGCCTCCGGTAGCCAACTGAACTTCAAGAAACTTTGTACCTTGACTCTTGTCAATAAGCTCTTTATTCATAGCTTCAAAGAGGGGGATCAGCCTTCCAGTGTAGGGGTCATTGAACCCAGTAACTGCTCGTTCAGCTTTCAGTAACTTCTCTTTGAGTTCCAGTCCTACCAGTCCTTCCTGAATGGCTTCTGTGACAGAGAAAGTTTTATTTCTTATGGGGTCTGTGATAAAACCAGAAGCAGCTTGAGCTTCCAGGAGGGAAACAACTAAATCTGACCCAAGAAGATTTTTTTTCATTGCTTCATAGAGACTTAGCTTCTCCTTGGTGCATTCTATATAAATCCCACCGATAATACCCAAGCTGCACAGATATGGTTTGACTTCTTGCAGTTCACCCACCATCTCTAAGGTCTGCTTCCCTTGTTTGATATCATTGTATAGAGCTTGATTTATAATTTTGGCTTTGAACAGTTGTGCTGCTGTTATCTGCTTCCTCAATCCCTGAAATCTGTTTTCTAGAGGAAGCAGTGGTAATCCAGTGTCTTGATCTGTGATGCAACCAGCCAATAAATCTTGATACGTTGAGGCCTCTGCTGTGTTAGGGTCAAGGTAGCACTTGGCAGATTCACTTTTTCCTGAGAGAATTGTGAGCATATCTTCATCTATTTTGTTCAGCTTGGTGGCCTCTTGCAAATGCACCCGGTTACCACTTGCATGGTCAATAATACCCCCGGTTGCTATTTGAGCTTCCAAGAAGCGAATTGCATAATTTTTACCAATGAGACCCTTCTTGAATGCCTGGAAAAGAGACAGAGTCTCATTTTTTAGTGCATAGCCAGTTACTGCTTTGCCTGCAGAGATTAGTTTTTCTTGGAACTCAGGACCAACAATTCCATGCTGAATTGCTGCTTCAACAGAAACTTTTTCATTTGTCAATAGGTCAATGATATTACCAGTGGCCGCTTGGGCTTCCAGCAGTGCGCAGGCCACTTCTTCTGACACCAGCTTCTTGAGCAGAGCTTGATAGATGCCAATTTTTTCCTTTGTGTGCTCCACTAAAAATCCAGCAATACTAGACAAGACTTTGTTAGCTTGGACAATGGGTGAGGACTGAGCATGGATTCCACATTCGATACCTTGAACAATTTGTGAGGAATCAGCATGGATTCCACATTCGATACCTTGAACAATTTGTGAGGACTCAGCATGGATTCCACATTCGATACCTTTTGTGGAGTCATGGTGGGTTTCAGATCTGAATCCATGTGAGGACTGGTGGCTGGAAGAATGTTGAACATGCGAAGTCTCATGGTGGCTACTGGTTCTGATGACCTGTTTGGATTCATGGTGGCTGCTGAGTTTGATAACCTGTGAGGTCTCATGATGGCTCCCAAATGTGATTCCGTGCACGTTTTCATGATGATTCCCAGATGCAATTCCAGGTAAAGCCATGTGATGGTTTCCAGATGCAATTCCTGGTAAAGCCATGTGATGGTTTCCAGATGCAATTCCATGTGAGGTTTCATGGGTTTGGAAAACGTTTGATTCCATTGTGTTCGTTTTGTGCACATCTTTGTTTTTGTCTTCGTGATGGCGGTGGTGCTCCATGGTCTTGGTTATTTGATGGGTGGGCGGAGAAGAATAGATGTTCAGTTGATATGCTGGTTTGGTCAGCTCTCTTCTTCATCAATGGATTAACAAATCCTGCAAACAGAAGAGAAAATCACTGTTACATCTGAATGTGGTAGCAATGGGAGTATATTCTAAATAATACAAAGTGTAGCAGTCACCATAACACTAATGGAATGTCTCTGCTGATTGCTCCACGTCAAGAACTCTCAGCAACATAATAATACAGGGCTTGACAAATTTGTTTGAAATTCCGGAGCCAGTTTCTTTTACTAAACTGAAAAAATAAAATTATTAAAGGGACACTATTGTCACTAGAACTACTAGAACTGCTTAATGCAGTTGTTCTGGTGTCTAAATGCTGTCCCTGCACGCTTCTCAATGTAAACACTGCTTTTTTAGAACAGGCAGTGTTTACATTGCTAGATGAAGAAAGAGGGTTGCAGCGCCTTGTGAGTGTCTTCTGATCCAGATGGTGCTCAGTGCATGTAGGAGAGCAGGAGACACAATATAGTGTAGTAGGTACTTCTACTTGGTGAAGAAAATATAGAAATGCACTTAGTTTTTTGGAGCTTCTGATCAGCTCCAAATGTTAGTGCATAGGCGGTATGATCCCCGCCTGTGGATATTTTCCATGAAGTGTCAGGATCCAGATGCACAGTATGGAAGTCGTAACGTGGGAAGTAGCAGCTCAGTGATGCAGATGTGGCATAAAAGGAGTATGAAAACAACCAATAGTGATATAAAAGGGTCAAATCGTGTGAAGGAATGCCCTTCGGTAACCGAACGAGGACTACCTGCACAGCTTATTAGAACATAAGAACCCTCCATTAGCAAGTGCGGTTTGACCCTTTTATATTAAAGGGTTACTCCTACCAAAAAAACCTGTGTTTTAGAAAAAAAATAATCTTTTTGGTTGACGTAACCTTTGCTGGCATGGCCCCACCCTGCCATAGAAAAAACAATAAAGACATAAAGCAAAAACGTAGCTCTAACACCACGCTGCCTTCAGTAAAGTTAGTCTCCCTTACTGGAGGTGGAGGGGACATCCCAGAAGAGAAGCTCAGAGGAGGACTTGGGAGGCACATTCATTTATATTCGTTATTTGCATTAACATTCAGACTACAAACACCATAACCCCTTCACTGAGCTCCTCTTCTCACAACTCCTCAGCTATACTTCCTAATAGGACGGGATTGTCTTAATGAGAAACTGCCACCATTCCGTATTATCATTGCATATAAAATATTACATATAATAATGCCTATCTGTGTGTATTTTTATTTCTCTGTTTATACATTATATAAATCCATAGATAGAAGCAGAGCTCGCTCTGTTTATACACTATATAAATCTATAGATAGAAGCAGAGCTCGCTCTGTTTATACACTATATAAATCCATAGATAGATAGAAGCAGGGCTCGCTCTGTTTATACACTATATAAATCCATAGATAGATAGAAGCAGGGCTCGCTCTGTTTATACACTATATAAATCCATAGTTAGATAGAAGCAGGACTCGCTCTGTTTATACACAATATAAATCCATAGTTAGATAGAAGCAGGGCTCGCCCTGTTTATACACTATATAAATCCATAGATAGATAGAAGCAGGGCTCGCTCTGTTTATACACTATATAAATCCATAGATAGATAGAAGCAGGGCTCGCTCTGTTTATACACTATATAAATCCATAGATAGATAGAAGCAGGGCTCGCTCTGTTTATACACTATATAAATCCATAGATAGAAGCAGGGCTCGCACTGTTTATACACTATATAAATCCATAGATAGAAGCAGGACTCGCTCTGTTTATACACTATATAAATCCATAGATAGAAGCAGGGCTCGCTCTGTTTATACACTATATAAATCCATAGATAGATAGAATCAGGGCTCGCTCTGTTTATACACTATATAAATCCATAGATAGATAGAAGCAGGGCTCGCTCTGTTTATACACTATATAAATCCATAGATAGATAGAAGCAGGGCTCGCTCTGTTTATACACTATATAAATCCATAGATAGAAGCAGGACTCGCTCTGTTTATACACTATATAAATCCATAGATAGATAGAAGCAGGGCTCGCTCTGTTTATACACTATATAAATCCATAGATAGATAGAAGCAGGGCTCGCTCTGTTTATACACTATATAAATCCATAGATAGATAGAAGCAGGGCTCGCTCTGTTTATACACTATATAAATCCATAGATAGATAGAAGCAGGGCTCGCACTGTTTATACACTATATAAATCCATAGATAGAAGCAGGACTCGCTCTGTTTATGCACTATATACACTTAAATCCATAGATAGATGGCAGGACTTGACTCTGTTTATACACTATATAAATCCATAGATGATAGATAGAAGCAGGATTTCAAGCTCTGTTTTATACACTATAAATCCATAGATAGATAGAGAGCTTGGGGCTTTCAAGCTCTGTTTATACACTATATAGAGCTCCATAGATAGATGGGGAGGCGGGGCTGGCTCTGTTTACTATATAAATCCATAGATAGAAGCAGGGCTCGCTTTGTTTATACACTATATAAATCCATAGATAGAAGCAGGGCTCGCTTTGTTTATACACTATATAAATCCATAGATAGATAGAAGCAGGACTAGCTCTGTTTATACACTATATAAATCCATAGATAGATAGAAGCAGGGCTCGCTCTGTTTATACACTATATAAATCCATAGATAGATAGAAGCAGGGCTCGCTCTGTTTATACACTATATAAATCCATATAGATAGATAGAAGCAGGGCTCGCTCTGTTTATACACTATATAAATCCATAGATAGAAGCAGGGCTCGCTCTGTTTATACACTATATAAAGCCATGGATAGATAGAAGCAGGACTCGCTCTGTTTATACACTATATAAATCCATAGATAGATAGAAGCAGGACTCGCTCTGTTTATACACTATATAAATCCATAGATAGATGGAAGCAGAGCTCGCTCTGTTTATACACTATATAAATCCATAGATAGATAGAAGCAGGGCTCGCTCTGTTTATACACTATATAAATCCATAGATAGATAGAAGCAGGGCTCGCTCTGTTTATACACTATATAAATCCATAGATAGATAGAAACAGGGCTCGCTCTGTTTATACACTATATAAATCCATAGATAGATAGAAGCAAGGACTACGCTCTGTTTATACACTATATAAATCCATAGCAGATAGATAGAAGCAGGACTTTCGCTCTGTTTGCCACTATATATAAATCCATATAGATAGAAGCAGGGCTCATTTCTGTTATACACTATATAAATCAATGGATGATAGATAGAAACACATTTCGCTCTGTTTATACACTATATAAATCCATAGATAGATAGATAGAAGCAGGGCTCGCTCTGTTTATACACTATATATAAATCCATAGATAGAAGCAGGGCTCGCTCTGTTTATACACTATATATAAATCCATAGATAGAAGCAGGGCTCGCTCTGTTTATACACTATATAAATCAATGGATAGATAGAAGCAGGGCTCGCTCTGTTTATACACTATATAAATCCATAGATAGATAGAAGCAGGGCTCGCTCTGTTTATACACTATATAAATCCATAGATAGATAGAAGCAGGGCTCGCTCTGTGTATACACTATATAAATCCATAGATAGAGAGAAGCAGGGCTCGCTCTGTTTATACACTATATAAATCCATAGATAGATAGAAACAGGGCTCGCTCTGTTTATACACTATATAAATCCATAGATAGATAGAAACAGGGCTCGCTCTGTTTATACACTATATAAATCCATAGATAGATAGAAGCAGGGCTCGCTCTGTTTATACACTATATAAATCCATAGATAGATAGAAGCGGGCTAAGCTCTGTTTTATACACTATATACAATCCATAGATGATAGATAAACGAGGGCTAAACTCTGTTTATACACTATATAAATCATAGATATAGATAGAAACGAGGGCACAAACTCTGTTTATACACTATATAAATCCATAGATAGATAGAAGCAGGAGCAGCTCTGTTTTACACACTATATAAATCCATATATAGATAGAAGCAGGACTCGCTCTGTTTATACACTATATAAATCCATAGATAGAAGCAGGGCTCGCTCTGTTTATACACTATATAAATCCATAGATAGAAGCAGGGCTCGCTCTGTTTATACACTATATAAATCCATAGATATAGAAGCAGGGCTCGCTCTGTTTATACACTATATAAATCCATAGATAGAAGCAGGGCTCGCTCTGTTTATACACTATATAAATCCATAGATAGATAGAAGCAGGGCTCGCTCTGTTTATACACTATATAAATCCATAGATAGATAGAAGCAGGGCTCGCTCTGTTTATACACTATATAAATCCATAGATAGATAGAAGCAGGGCTCGCTCTGTTTATACACTATATAAATCCATAGATAGAAGCAGGGCTCGCTCTGTTTATACACTATATAAATCCATAGATAGATAGCAGGACTCGCTCTGTTTATACACTATATAAATCCATAGATAGATAGAAGCAGGGCTCGCTCTGTTTATACACTATATAAATCCATAGATAAGTCCTGCTGGCGATAGTCTGGGGTGTGGATGTGGAAACGGGACAGTAACAGGTTGTTGGTGGAGCGACCAGGCCGGGTTAGCATATCTCGTAATGAGTGAGGAGATGTGGGCTGGGGTCGGTTAAAGTGAACTTTGTAAGTAAGCACGAGAATTTTAAACCGTATTCTAAATGGATTAGGAAGCCAGAGACAGACTGTACAGCTATTTGTTTGTTTAGAGCCTTCACCTGGGAGTACTTTCTCTGTTATTATTTTTATATAATGTAAGGTGAATATTTTTTAAAGAAACACACCAAACACCACAACCACTACAGGCCCCTGCTCACTACTACCATCCTGGTGTCCTGTCAGAGTAATATGTCATACTGACAGACGCAGCATTAGAAGGAGGAAAGACAAATAGTTCGGTCTTGGAGAGGATGAGTTTTTGGAATCAAGAAGTCATCGAGTCCGAATCAGAGAATAGTCAGGAGAGATCGAGTGTGGACAGGTAGATGTGGGTATCGTCAGCAAATAGGTGATCCTGAAAGCCATAGGAAGCTATCAGGTCACCAAGAGAGACCGTCTAAATTGAGAAGACGTCGCAATACAAAGCTCTGAGAAACTCAAACAGAAAGAGGTATAGGAGGAGAAGAGGAACCAGAGAAAGAGACGCTGAAGGAGTGGTGAGAAGGGTCGGAAGAAGACTACTGGTTAAGTCCAGATCCAGATTATCTCTTAACAGGCCATAGGCAGGGTACTAATTGTGGGCCCCCATTTTGATGGTCAAGAAGGGGATAAACAGCCACACACACACGCACACGCACACGCACACGCACACGCACACACACACACACACACACACAGAAAAGCACATTAGACACACAAAGAGGTTTACTCACTAAACACTGAGTTGGAAAAGAAAATCAACTCAACTATTGTCAGAGATTGGCTAGTTTAGTCTAAATTTTAAAATTACAATTTAAAGATGTAAAAAAAAACAGAGAACACAAAAAAAAAATAATCAGACACACATAGAAACATATAGAAAAACACAGACATATAAAAATACATAGAAAGATGCAAACACATAAAAAAACACAGACACACAGAAACACAGGAAAACACACACAAAAAAAAAAACAGACAAACAGAGACATATTGAAACATAGACAAGCACACATACGGAAATGCAAAAAACAAGAGACATGCAGGTAGAATAAAAGGCATGTTCTACTACACACTCTGTGTTACACAGTTTGCCGGACCCTACGGCCCATAGGGTCATTTTCCAAAACGGTTGAATGCAGTTGGCCCCTAAATATTGCTCGCCCTACAGATAGACATTTCTCACCTCTCTGAATTATCAATCTGTAAATGATGTTTTTTGTCCATCAGACAAGACGTGCGATGTTTTGACAAATACTGTATTGATATGAATGGTAACAGTGTCAGTGATTGGATCCTTTTTCCCAAACTGCTGCTGCGAGGTGCTGCTGGTAAATATCTATCTGTATTGAACTAACAGCAGGTTTGAGGGCAGAAAGCAACCTGCTAGAACCCAGCTCTAATCAGATGAATTCTCTGAAGATATAACGCTTATTTCCATCCCTTCTAACCCACCGTTGCAGCCAGTTATTTGAGAATTTTGTTTTTACATTGTTTTATCGGTTGCTTGGTTTATGGTTGCTGCGCCCCGTACAATACACAGCGGCGCAATCGCTGCTGTGCCCAGTAATGGTGTAATCGAGGAAGTATCTTTATACAGCGCTGTCATATTCCACTCTCGTACCCAAAGGCAAATAATGACATGGAGTGGGTTAATTAATTCCATGAACAGTGCAGTACGTCATCGCTGCCCAGATATATCAATAGTAGATTGTCAGTGGGAATTAGGTAATCACCGTCATCTCCCTCTGAGACGCCTCACCCTGCTCAGCTATGCCAATGATATATTTCGGTAACGGATGGAGCAAGCTGGGACCTGTGAGTGCAAATACTCTCCGGGACCGGCCCCTGGGTGTGATGCGATCAGGGTCCCGAACTGATATATCAGCTATTCCAGGGAATTCACTTACTGAGCACAACGTCAAACAAAACAAAACTCACCAGTTATGATTTAATCAACAGGATAAGCAAGCAGACCCTGTATGCAACACACTGGGGACAGAATACTACACTATAGATGGGGCCCATTACCTCGTTACCCAGTTAGTTTGACTATAAATGGCAGCAACCTCCATTAAATGTGTAAAGAAAACTTTCACTAAGAACGTCGACTTCTAAAACATCCCAAAGTTTCACCCATAACCTGCTGGCATTGTCTAGCCTTTGCCTGGAATGTATCACTGCGCTGAGACTCCCGCCCTGTTTCACGACACTCCTCACTCCCACCCTGCACATAGTTTTAAGAATTTAACAGCCTCTTCCTCAAAAATTTCACAGTGAATTATAAAGCAGAAAAGCTTTAAATCACCCAGTATAAATAGATTTATAGACGGAGCTTCCCGCATATAGCGCCCGGTATAAACCGATTTATAAACTCTATAGACGGAGCTCCCCGCATATAGCGCCCGGTATAAACCGATTTATAAACTCTATAGACGGAGCGCTCCGCATATAGCGCCCGGTATAAACCGATTTATAAACTCTATAGACGGAGCGCTCCGCATATAGCGCCCGGTATAAACCGATTTATAAACTCTATAGACGGAGCTTCCCGCATATAGCGCCCGGTATAAACCGATTTATAAACTCTATAGACGGAGCTCCCCGCATATAGCGCCCGGTATAAACCGATTTATAAACTCTATAGACGGAGCTCCCCGCATATAGCGCCCGGTATAAACCGATTTATAAACTCTATAGACGGAGCGCTCCGCATATAGCGCCCGGTATAAACCGATTTATAAACTCTATAGACGGAGCTTCCCGCATATAGCGCCCGGTATAAACCGATTTATAAACTCTATAGACGGAGCTCCCCGCATATAGCGCCCGGTATAAACCGATTTATAAACTCTATAGACGGAGCGCTCCGCATATAGCGCCCGGTATAAACCGATTTATAAACTCTATAGACGGAGCTCCCCGCATATAGCGCCCGGTATAAACCGATTTATAAACTCTATAGACGGAGCTTCCCGCATATAGCGCCCGGTATAAATAGATTTATAAACTCTATAGACGGAGCTCCCCGCATATAGCGCCCGGTATAAACCGATTTATAAACTCTATAGACGGAGCTTCCCGCATATAGCGCCCGGTATAAATAGATTTATAAACTCTATAGACGGAGCTTCCCGCATATAGCGCCCGGTATAAACCGATTTATAAACTCTATAGACGGAGCTTCCCGCATATAGCGCCCGGTTTAAACCGATTTATAAACTCTATAGACGGAGCTTCCCGCATATAGCGCCCGGTATAAACCGATTTATAAACTCTATAGACGGAGCGCTCCGCATATAGCGCCCGGTTTAAACCGATTTATAAACTCTATAGACGGAGCTCCCCGCATATAGCGCCCGGTATAAACCGATTTATAAACTCTATAGACGGAGCGCTCCGCATATAGCGCCCGGTATAAACCGATTTATAAACTCTATAGACGGAGCTCCCCGCATATAGCGCCCGGTATAAACCGATTTATAAACTCTATAGACGGAGCTTCCCGCATATAGCGCCCGGTATAAATAGATTTATAAACTCTATAGACGGAGCTCTCCGCATATAGCGCCCGGTATAAACCGATTTATAGCTCGCAGAAGCCGGAGCTCCCCGCATATAAGCGCCCGGTATAAAACAGATTTATAAACTCAGGCGGGCGCTCCGCATATAAGCGCCCGGTATAAACCGATTTATAAACTCTATAGGCGAGGTCCCTAGGGCGTGAAGTGTGAGTGGTGTTGTAGGCTCGGAAGGCACAGAGTGTAGGGGTGTTGTGGAGACAGGCTCAGGCACAGTGTGTAGAAGAGTGTTGTGGAGACAGGCTCAGGCACAGAGTGTAGGGGTGTTGTGGAGACAGGCTCAGGCACAGTGTGTAGGGGTGTTGTGGAGACAGGCTCAGGCACAGAGTGTAGTGGTGTTGTGGAGACAGGCTCAGGCACAGAGTGTAGTGGTGTTGTGGAGACAGGCTCAGGCACAGAGTGTAGGGGTGTTGTGGAGACAGGCTCAGGCACCGAGTGTAGTGGTGTTGTGGAGACAGGCTCGGGCACCGAGTGTAGTGGTGTTGTGGAGACAGGCTCAGGCACCGAGTGTAGTGGTGTTGTGGAGACAGGCTCAGGCACCGAGTGTAGTGGTGTTGTGGAGACAGGCTCAGGCACAGAGTGTAGTGGTGTTGTGGAGACAGGCACAGAGTGTAGTGGTGTTGTGGAGACAGGCTCAGGCACCGAGTGTAGTGGTGTTGTGGAGACAGGCTCGGGCACTGAGGGTAGTGGTGTTGTGGAGACAGGCTCGGGCACAGAGTGTAGTGGTGTTGTGGAGACAGGCTCAGGCAAGCAGTGATACTAATAACCGCAATCGGTTACACACGGCTGGCGGTGAGATATTTTATAATAATGTCAGTAGTTGATGATAATCCGAATATGTAATACATGGAATGCCATCATACAATATGGGAGGTGCTGTCTATCCTAATATCTAATTACATGTTATGACGTAGTTCTGGTCCATCCGACAGGCAGGGGACACGTGTGAATTTGAGTGTTTGGGGCAGGAATATATGGATCCTATTCTCAGCCAATCTCCGGCTTGACATTAATAACTCCGTATCTCAGCTGCCTGGTAACTGTCTACGTGATAGTTGTGTCTCTCTGCCATGTGTTAGGTGTTTGTATTATAGCTGTCTCTCTAGGTCTCACATAGACACCTATCACGCAGCCATCTCACCACATGTCTATCGCCTGCACCTACCGTTTGAATGTAAGCCCACAAGATCAGTATGTGCCAGTATGGAGCAAAGTGCATGTGATATTTTGTAGAACATAAAAACTGAATGGTAATATTTTATGTAATGTTTCTGAGCTGCATTTTATAATAATATAAGTGTGAATCACGGTTTGTGCCTCGCATTCTGAAATCTTATATAAATATATGGACTGTTATCATGTTTACACGTTACCATTACTTTTAAATAAATCTCAAAGCATTACCCTTCTGTCTCTCCTAATCCCACTTACCCCCTTCTTTCTCTCCTAATCCCATTTACCCCCTTCTTTGTCTTTCCTAATCCCGTTTACCCCCTCCTGTGTCTCTCCTAATCTCACTTACCCCCTCCTGTGTCTCTCCTAATCCTGTTTACACCTTCGGTCTCTCCTAATCCCGTTTACCCCCTTCTGTGTCTCTCCTAATCTCACTTACCCCCTTCTGTGTCTCTCCTAATCTCACTTACCCCCTTCTGTGTCTCTCCTAATCCCGCTTTCTGTCTCTCCTAATCCCGTTTACCCCCTTCTGTGTCTCTCCTAATCCTGCTTACCCCCTTCTTTGTCTCTCCTAATCCTGATTACCCCCTTCTGTGTCTTTTATAATCCCGCTTACCCCTTCTGTCTCTCCTAATCTCGTTTACCCCCTTTTGTGTTTCTCCTAATCCCGTTTACCCCTTCTGTCTCTCCTAATCCCGTTTACCCCTACTGTGTCTATCCTAATCCTGTTTATCCCCTCCTGTATCTCTCCTAATCCCGCATACCCCCTTCTATGTCTCTCCTAATCCCGCATACCCCCTTCTGTGCCTCTCCTAATCCCGCATACCCCCTTCTGTGTCTCTCCTAATCCCGCTTACCCCCTTCTGTGTCTCTCCTAATCCCGCATACCCCCTTCTGTGTCTCTCCTAATCCCGCATACCCCCTTCTGTGTCTCTCCTAATCCCGCATACCCCCTTCTGTGTCTCTCCTAATCCCACATACCCCCTTCTGTGCCTCTCCTAATCCCGCATACCCCCTTCTGTGCCTCTCCTAATCCCGCATACCCCATTCTGTGCCTCTCCTAATCCCGCATACCCCATTCTGTGCCTCTCCTAATCCCACACCCGCTTCTGTGTCTCTCCTAATCCCACACCCGCTTCTGTGTCTCTCCTAATCCTGTTTACCCCCCTCTGTGTCTCTCTTAATCTCGTTTACCCCCTTCTGTGTCTTTCATAAACATGTAAATACACACATACTTGGTGATCCATAGGATGGATATCCTGTACCCCACTACTAAATCCAATATACAATCCCGACCTAAGTTATTCTCTGTGCCCTCTGTATAGTATGGCAGTCTCTGTATAGTACGGCAGTCTCTGTGCTCTCTGTATAGTACGGCAGTCTCTGTATAGTACGGTAGTCTACGTATAGTACGGCAATCTCTGTGCTCTCTGCATAGTACGGCAGTCTCTGTGCTCTCTGTATAGTTAGCAGTCTGTACAGTACGGCAGTCTTTGTATAGTACGGCAGTCTTTGTATAGTACGGCAGTCTATGTATAATTAGCAGTCTCTGTATAGTATGGCAGTCTCTGTATAGTACGGCAGTCTCTGTGCCCTCTGTATAGTATGGCAGTCTCTGTGCTCTCTATAGTACGGCAGTCTCTGTATAGTACGGCAGTCTCTGTGCTCTCTGTATAGTACGGCAGTCTCTGTATAGTACGGCAGTCTCTGTGCTCTCTGTATAGTACGGCAGTCTCTGTATAGTACGGCAATCTCTGTATAGTACGGCAATCTCTGTGCTCTCTGTATAGTTAGCAGTCTCTGTACAGTACGGCAGTCTTTGTATAGTACGGCAGTCTTTGTATAATTAGCAGTCTCTGTATAGTACGTCAGTCTCTGTGCTCTCTGCATAGTACAGCAGTCTCTGCATAGTACGGCAATCTCTGTATAGTACGGCAATCTCTGTGCTCTCTGTATAGTTAGCAGTCTCTGTACAGTACGGCAGTCTTTGTATAGTACGGCAGTCTTTGTATAATTAGCAGTCTCTGTATAGTACGTCAGTCTCTGTGCTCTCTGCATAGTACAGCAGTCTCTGCATAGTACGGCAATCTCTGTATAGTACGGCAATCTCTGTGCTCTCTGTATAGTTAGCAGTCTCTGTACAGTACGGCAGTCTTTGTATAATTAGCAGTCTCTGTATAGTACGGCAGTCTCTGTGCTCTCTGCATAGTACGGCAGTCTCTGTATAGTACGGCAGTCTCTGTGCTCTCTGTATAGTTAGCAGTCTGTACAGTACGGCAGTCTTTGTATAGTGCGGCAGTCTATGTATAATTAGCAGTCTCTGTATAGTACGGCAGGCTCTGTGCTCTCTGTATAGTACGGCAGCCTCTGTATAGTATGGCAGTCTCTGTACAGTACGGCAGTCTCTGTGCTCTCTGTACAGTACGGCAGTCTCCGTATAGCACGGCAGTCTCTGTATAGTACAGCAGTCTCTGTGCTCTCTGTATAGTACGGCAGTCTCTGTATAGGCTCTGTATAGTACGGCAGTCTCTGTGCTCTCTGTATAGTACGGCAGTCTCTCTCTGTATAGTTAGCAGTCTCTGTATAGTATAGTATGGCAGTCTGTCGTATAATAAGGTAGGTCTGCTGTGGGTGTAACAGGGAATTGTAGACACCCAATGCCTAGTGGACACTCTGGAATGTCAACTGGTAGAGGAGACTCTGTGCCCAACGCTGGCAATGCCCCACCCAGCATCCTACTGTTAGTTGGCTTTGTACATCATCTGACTACAACACCCATCATCCCATGACAACAAATTAGATATTTCATAACTCAATCAAAACCATTTCACAGACTAATATGGGATTTTGAAGCAGAAATGGGGGAACCAAGAAAACAGGAGTATGATGCTTCTGAGTGTACCCAGAAATTTCCATACAGCGGCCATACATGAATACACGGCTGTCTTTCCCGACATTGGCAGTCTGGGGCACAGAGACTTTGCCACTGCTACTGTCTGTGCCATGCCCGTCACCTGCGGGAATAGTCACTCTCAGCAGCTTGTGCACTCAACAGCGAATTGTAGTGACCTGAAACTTAAGTCTAAAATAGCCCCAGCTCTGCTATTGTCAATTCTGGACTATTTCAGCGTAAAATTTTGAGATGAGATTTCTGATTTAGTGTTTAGTGAATAAATTCCACCGATTGAGCTGACCTCATTGTTATCTTTAAAATGTTGAACCCCTGAAACCGAAAGCGGCTTTATCTGACGGCCTGGAGGTCACTGTCCGATGTCTTTATTCACTAGAAAAACAAACCGAACTGAGTGCTCAGTAAATATGTGACCTAGCACCCAGTGCACCAAGAGCATCCAATTACCCGGAGCACCCCAGCACCAGGAGCACCCTAGTACCCAGAGCACCCCAGCATCCAGAGCACCCCAGCATAGGGAGCACCCTAGGACACGGAGAACCCCAGCACCCAGAGCACCCCAGCACCCGGAGCATCCCAGCACCCTAGTGCATTGAGCACCCTAGGACACGGAGAACCCCAGCACCAGGTGCACCCCAGTACCCAGAGCACCCCAGCACCCTAGTACACGGAGCACCCTAGGACACGGAGAACCCCAGCACCCGGAGCACCCCAGCACCAGGTGCACCCCAGTACCCAGAGCACCCCAGCACCCTAGTACACGGAGCACCCTAGGACATGGAGAACCCCAGCACCCTAGTACATGGAGCACCCTAGGACACGGAGAACCCCAGCACCTGGAGCACCCCAGTACACGGAGCACCCCAGCACCAGGAGCACCCTAGTACCCAAAGCACCCCAGCACCAGGAGCACCCTAGTACCGAGAGCACCCCGGCACCCAGAGCACCCTAGTACAAGGAGCACCCTAATACCCAGAGCACCCTAGTACCCGGAGCACCCCAGTACCCAGCACAGCAAGATAAAATGTGGCTATGTGCATCGAGCACAGCACTGGGAGGTGATCAATCAGGCTAGCTTGCTGCATTCCTCCCAAGTGTCCCTATTGAGGAATGACCGTCTCTATTTTGGGCTCAAATCCCTCTGTCCATCTTTTATATCCTACTGCACTTCTTTTCTAGGAGCTCTGTATTGTTGTTGTGTCTGAGAGTACAATAAAGCTCCACAGCAATAATACTGCCAGTAATGTGTCTGAGTGTATAACAGAGCTCCACAGCAATAATACTCCCAGTAATGTGTCTGAGTGTATAACAGAGCTCCACAGCAATAATACTCCCAGTAATGTGTCTGAGTGTATAACAGAGCTCCACAGCAATAATACTCCCAGTAATGTGTCTGAGTGTATAACAGAGCTCCACAGCAATAATACTCCCAGTAATGTGTCTGAGTGTATAACAGAGCTCCACAGCAATAATACTCCCAGTAATGTGTCTGAGTGTATAACAGAGCTCCACAGCAATAATACTCCCAGTAATGTGTCTGAGTGTATAACAGAGCTCCACAGCAATAATACTCCCAGTAATGTGTCTAAGTGCATAACAGAGCTCCACAGTAATAATACTCCCGGTAATGTGCCTGAGTGTATAACAGAGCCCCACAGCAATAATACCCCCAGTAATGTGTGTGTGTGTATAACAGAGCTCCACAGTAATAATACTCCCAGTAATGTGTCTGAGTGTATAACAGAGCTCCACAGCAATAATACTCCCAGTAATGTGTCTGAGTGTATAACAGAGCTCCACAGCAATAATACTCCCAGTAATGTGTCTGAGTGTATAACAGAGCTCCACAGCAATAATACTCCCAGTAATGTGTCTGAGTGTATAACAGAGCTCCACAGTAATAATACTCCCAGTAATGTGTCTGAGTGTATAACAGAGCTCCACAGCAATAATACTCCCAGTAATGTGTCTGAGTGTATAACAGAGCTCCACAGCAATAATACTCCCAGTAATGTGTCTGAGTGTATAACAGAGCTCCACAGCAATAATACTCCCAGTAATGTGTCTGAGTGTATAACAGAGCTCCCACGGTAATAATACTCCCAGTAATGTGTCTGAGTGTATAACAGAGCTCCACAGCAATAATACTCCCAGTAATGTGTCTGAGTGTATAACAGAGCTCCACAGTAATAATACTCCCAGTAATGTGTCTGAGTGTATAACAGAGCTCCACAGCAATAATATTCCCAGTAATGTGTCTGTGTGTATAACAGAGCTCCACAGCAATAATACTCCCAGTAATGTGTCTGAGTGTATAACAGAGCTCCACGGCAATAATACTCCCAGTAATGTGTCTGAATGTGTGTAACAGAGCTCCACGCAATAATACTCCCAGTAATGTGTCTGTGCATAACAGAGCTCCAGCAATAATACTCCCAGTAATGTGTCTGAGTGTATAACAGAGCTCCACAGCAATAATACTCCCAGTAATGTGTCTGAGTGTATAACAGAGCTCCACAGCAATAATACTCCCAGTAATGTGTCTGAGTGTATAACAGAGCTCCACAGCAATAATACTTCCAGTAATGTGTCTGAGTGTATAACAGAGCTCCACAGCAATAATACTCCCAGTAATGTGTCTGAGAGTATAACAGAGCTCCACAGTAATAATACTCCCAGTAATGTGTCTGAGTGTATAACAGAGCCCCACAGTATTAATACTCCCAGTAATGTGTCTGAGTGTATAACAGAGCTCCACAGCAATAATACTCCCAGTAATGTGTCTGAGTGTATAACAGAGCTCCACAGCAAAAATACTCCCAGTAATGTGTCTGAGTGTATAACAGAGCTCCACAGCAATAATACTCCCAGTAATGTGTCTGAGTGTATAACAGAGTTCCACAGCAATAATACTCCCAGTAACGTGTTTGAGTGTATAACAGAACTCCACAACAATAATACTCCCAGTAATGTGTCTGAGTGTATAACAGAGCTCCACAGCATTAATACTCCCAGCAATGTGTCTGAGTGTATAACAGAGCTCCACAGCAATACTACTCCCAGTAATGTGTCTGAGTGTATAACAGAGCTCCACAGCAATACTACTCCCAGTAATGTGTCTGAGTGTATAACAGAGCTCCACAGCAATAATACTCCCAGTAATGTGTCTGAGTGTATAACAGAGCCCCACAGCGATAATACTCCCAGTAATGTGTCTTTAAACTACAATAAATGTAGCTTAATATAAAGCTGTGCAATAATGTTGTTACTGTGTGTAATATAAAGCTGTACAATATCGGGGTTACTGTGTGTAATATAAAGCTGTACAATATCGGGGTTACTGTGTGTAATATAAAGGGGTGCAATGCCGGGGTTACTGTGTGTAATATAAAGTTGTACAATATCGGGGTTACTGTGTGTAATATAAAGCTGTACAATATCGGGGTTACTGTGTGTAATATAAAGGGGTGCAATGCCGGGGTTACTGTGTGTAATATAAAGCTGTACAATATCGGGGTTACTGTGTGTAATATAAAGCTGTACAATATCGGGGTTACTGTGTGTAATATAAAACTGTACAATATCGGGGTTACTGTGTGTAATATAAAGCTGTGCAATGCCGGGGTTACTGTGTGTAATATAAAGCTGTGCAATGCCAGGGTTACTGTGTGTAATATAAAGCTGTACAATATCGGGGTTACTGTGTGTAATATAAAGGGGTGCAATGCCGGGGTTACTGTGTGTAATATAAAGCTGTACAATATCGGGGTTACTGTGTGTAATATAAAGGGGTGCAATGCCGGGGTTACTGTGTGTAATATAAAGGGGTGCAATGCCGGGGTTACTGTGTGTAATATAAAGGGGTGCAATGCCGGGGTTACTGTGTGTAATATAAAGCTGTACAGCTCTGCCCTGGTTATTATCCTGCTAAGAGCGAGGACCTTGCGGCACCGTACCCGGGGTTGCCCAGTGAGAAGGGCTAGGTGTCCGCATTCTAATCAGACACTTATTGACAGGCCAGAGACAAGCTCGTGGAGGAATTCACGCCCAGGAGCTCACACAGTAACACTCAATGATCCCCACTTCCGAGGCCCTGCGGAGAGTTCAGCGCTACCACACTGAGTTCAGCTGCGGCTGTGAAGTGATGAGATTAGAAAGGATGAATGGGGATGATTTACAATGACATATTGAGTTTAATGAATAATCTCTGAAACCTGTATGTATTCCTTAATATGTAACCACAACAGAGCCGATAATCGCACCTAATTTACTGTAATCCATGCCAGCAGACACTCAAACAGAATCTCCACCTCGCAACCTTTTAGCATTAATCTTAATCTAGGAAATGAAACTGACAGGGATTGCAAAACTCCTCCACCAAAGGTCATTCCCACCTCATAACAAAAATGAAAGTCCTAGATGTTAGCCTCGGAATTAAGGGGCGACCAGGTAACTGAATGTCACCAAGTGGGGCAATCAGCAGAACATTCCATTGGTTGCCATTGTACAGCGCTACGGAATTTGCTGGCGCTATATAAATAATAAAATAATAAATGACTTCTTTGTACAGAACCTCATAGTGCCCAGGGGTGGTGGGTATTCTCTATGTAGGGCTGGTTATAGGTTTATACGTGGAAATTTTACACAAAATTATTCTGTCTGTCCAATAAAAAAGGCATTAGCAGAAAGTGCAATACTTCGTTAATTTGCATCCAAATGACCCGGACGAGGCAGGAATTCCTTCACAAAGGACTAACCCTGATTCAGGTCAGATTGGATTTGCAGGAGTGTCCTTGTTCTGGGTAAATGACGGAGCCTCCCTCCCGTCTACGTCTCGCTAATTACACAGCGAACACTAAAAATATTTTCACCTTCACAGAACATCATCCGTTATTACAACATACGGTTTGAGACGTGGAAATCTCATGAACACATAACATTGGGCAATATATTCGGCTCTGCCTGCAATAGTTGGAATAGATTCATCTGTCCATTCAGACTGTATTCCCCCATTCGGCTAACCTTTGTACATCAGTCCACAGAATAGAATGCTGCCGGCTTTAACCCTTAATAATCTGTGTGACAAAGACCGCCAGTATATTTATCTGGAGGGGAGAGAATACAAACACACAATTGTGTACACTGGGGGTCTCCCAAAATATCAACTAAATTCTGAACTGCGGGGAACAGACAAGACAATGGCACATATTAACCCCTTAAGGACACACGACATGTGTGACATGTCATGATTCCCTTTTATTCCAGAAGTTTGGTCCTTAAGGGGTTAAACCACAATAGCCGAATTTGCTAAGCGCTCTGTTTATCCAACACTGGTATTTCTGTCTCTGGTGTGCAACCTCTTTTAATTCACTAATTATTAATCATTCTTTGGGCTCGGAAATGCCTATTATGTGGGTGTCCAGCTAATTTGGGAATCGGACTGTTATTATCGCCATTCATTTATTAAATAATTCCCATATTTACCCTTAGAGAATAACTCGCCGATACAGAGGGATTTACCAACCATGTTCCAGGAGGTGATACACAATACTTACCATATAATGCAGTTGGTTTATTGAATAAAGCGATAATGGTTCACATTGTACAGTGAGTGAATATCACAACACTGGCTAACACTGAAACTCCAGCTCTTACAAACTACATTCCCCATGATGCTTAGAGAGTGAGTACGAACTGAGTGGCACTTCGAGAGTTAATCTAAACATAGTGGCTGCCTACCCCCATCACTCCCCATTCCAGTTAAACCTGACTTTCTAATAACCCCCAACCCCACCCGGTGTGTGTGTACACAGAGAATGGCAGGTAGAAGGAATCCCCCAGGCAGACAGGTAGAGGGAGGGAGAGTGTATGTGGGAGGAAGACTAATTCACACAGTAATCAAACAATGGGGAGAGGGGAACCAGGGTGCGAGGATGGGGATTGAGTGGGGTTGGAGGGATGGGGGTTAATGTATGGGGAGCGAGAGTGAGTGTGAGTGAGGTTGGAGGGATGAGGGTTAATGTATGGGGAGCGAGAGTGAGTGTGAGTGAGGTTGGAGGGATGGGGGTTAATGTATGGGGAGCGAGAGTGAGTGTGAGTGAGGTTGGAGGGATGGGGGTTAATGTATGGGGAGCGCAGAGAGTGAGTGTGAGTGAGGTTGGAGGGATGGGGGTTAATGCATGGGGAGCGGAGTGAGTGTGAGTGAGGTTGGAGGGATGGGGGTTACAATGTATGGGGAGCGAAAGAGTGAGGTGGAGTGAGGCTGGAGGAATGGGGGCACTGTACATGGGGAGCGAGAGTGAGTGAGGTTGGAGGGATGGGGGTTAATGTATGGGGAGCGAGAGTGAGTGTGAGTGAGGTTGGAGGGATGGGGGTTAATGTATGGGGAGCGAGAGTGAGTGTGAGTGAGGTTGGAGGGATGAGGGTTAATGTATGGGGAGCGAGAGTGAGTGTGAGTGAGGTTGGAGGGATGGGGGTTAATGTATGGGGAGCGAGAGTGAGTGTGAGTGAGGTTGGAGGGATGAGGGATGGAGAGAGTGTGAGTGTATGGGGAATGGGGATGGAGAGAGTGTGAGTGTATGGGGTGGAGAGAGTGTGAGTGTATGGGGATGGAGTGAGTGTGAGTGTATGGGGATGGAGTGAGTGTGAGTGTATGGGGATGGAGTGAGTGTGAGTGTATGGGGAATGGGGATGGAGAGAGTGTGAGTGTATGGGGAATGGGGATGGAGAGAGTGTGAGTGTATGGGGAATGGGGATGGAGAGAGTGTGAGTGTATGTGGAATGGGGATGGAGTGAGTGTGAGTGTATGGGGAATGGGATGGAGAGAGTGTGAGGTAAGGGGAATGGGGATGGAGGAGTGTGAGTGTAGGGGAATGGGATGGAGTGAGTGTGAGTGTATGGGGATGGAGTGAGTGTGAGTGTATGGGAAGAGCGTGTGAGTAAAATGCACATTTAATCACAGTTAGATTTCCTATAACAATGTTGATAAAAATAAAGACGTGAAAACACATTTGGGGTCACTCTAGTTCCTCTCAATGTGAAGATATGTTAAGTCTCGGAAATGTTGGTATTTTTACATTGTACTCCTTAATATATACATTATATAAATAATAATAGTATAAATAGGAGCATTTTCTACCCAGTATTTATACGTTTATTAAATATGTGATATATATATAAATATAGAGTTTTTAAACTTCCTCCTTTTTTATCTTCTATTGGTTAATTCTGTGATTAAAGTCAACATTTAGTGACTCTCCCCAAACCATCTTTTTTATTTTTTTTGGAGCCACTGATGGAACTCCGAATCACAGAGTTATACAACTGGTCGCTTATCGCCCAAAATATGCACAAATAGAGATCTGTTTGAACTGAAGCAGTTTAGCAGTCACTCAGTACTGCCACTCAAACCTCACTTCCCATAATAAACACAACCAGTCACACCCTAATAACACAGAATCCCCCCATTAATAATCTGTGCTCCCCCAAATACCCCACTAATAATCTGTGCTCCCCCAAATCCAAAATCCCCCACTAATAATCTGTGCTCCCCCAAATCCCCCACTAATAATCTGTGCTCCCCAAATCCAAAAACCCCCACTAATGACCCGTGTTCCCCTACAGTCAAAATCCCCCACTAATAACCTGTGCTGCCCCCAGTCAGAATCCCCCATTAATAATCTGTGCTCCCCACATAGAGAACCCCTCACTAATAACCTGTGCACCCCACATTCAGAACTTCTCCCTAATAATCTGTGCCCCCCCAGTCAGAATCCCCCATTAATAATCTGTGCCCCCCACAGTCAGAATCCCCCATTAATAATCTGTGCTCCCCACAGTCAGAATTTCTTCTGTGCACCCCACATTCAGAACTTCTCCTTAATAATCTGTGCTCCTCACAGTCAGAACCCCCACTAATAATCTGTGCCCCCCACAGTCAGAATACCACATTAATAATCTGTGCCCCCCACATTCAGAACCCCATTAATAAATCTGTGCACCCCACATTCAGAACCCCCATTAATAAATCTGTGCACCCCACATTCAGAACCCCCATTAATAAATCTGTGCCCCCACATTCAGAACCCCCATTAATAATCTGTGCCCCCACATTCAGAACCCCCACATATATATTGTATCCTCTGACTTACCTGTTGATGTCTTTACTCAGTGAGTGCACTCAGTTCGTGTCCCAGATCCCCCAGTCTCTCTGCTGAGACTGAGAAACACAATGAGACAGTGATTATTTAAAGGGCCGTAATAGCTCAGCCCTCCCTCTGCCGGGAGCCCCATCCCTGCCAGGGGCCACACCCTGCCCGGACTGCACAGGTGAGTATAAATACCTTGCCAGTCTCTGTATAGTGACACTCAGTGGGGGTTAACTCTTTACAGGCTCTCAGCTCTCTGTCCTGTTCCAGATCCCAAATGTTACCAAAATCTACAAATAATGTAAATGTACCCTGACAAGTGTGAGCAATTCTAATAATCCCTGCAAATCAGGGTGGGCAATTCTAATAATCCCTGCAAGGCAGGGTGGGCAATTCTAATAATCCCTGCAAATCAGGGTGGGCAATTCTAATAATCCCTGCAAATCAGGGTGGGCAAATCAAATAATCCCAGCAAATCAGGGTGGGCAATTCTAATAACCCCTGCAAATCAAGGTGGGCAGTTCTAATAATCCTTGCAAATCAGGGTGGGCAATTCTAATAACCCCTGCAAATCAAGGTGGGCAGTTCTAATAATCCTTGCAAATCAGGGTGGGCAATTCTAATAATCCCTGCAAACCAGGGTGGGCAATTCTAATAATCCCTGCAAACCAGGGTGGGCAATTCTAATAATCCCTGCAAATCAGGGTGGGCAATTCTAATAATCCCTGCAAATCAGGGTGGGCAATTCTAATAATCCCTGCAAGGCAGGGTGGGCAATTCTAATAATCCCTGCAAATCAGGGTGGGCAATTCTAGTAATCCCTGCAAATCAGGGTGGGCAGTTCTAATAATCCATGCAAAGCAGGGTGGGCAATTCTAATAATCCTTGCAAATCAGGGTGGGCAATTCTAATAATCCCTGCAAACCAGGGTGGGCAATTCTAATAATCCCAGCAAATCAGGGTGGGCAATTCTAATAATCCCTGCAAGGCAGGGTGGGCAATTCTAATAATCCCTGCAAATCAGGGTGGGCAATTCTAATAATCCCTGCAAATCAGGGTGGGCAATTCAAATAATCCCAGCAAATCAGGGTGGGCAATTCTAATAACCCCTGCAAATCAAGGTGGGCAGTTCTAATAATCCTTGCAAATCAGGGTGGGCAATTCTAATAATCCCTGCAAACCAGGGTGGGCAATTCAAATAATCCTTGCAAATCAGGGTGGGCAATTCTAATAATCCCAGCAAATCAGGGTGGGCAATTCTAATAACCCCTGCAAATCAGGGTGGGCAATTCCTAATAATTCTAATAATCTTGCAAATCAGGGTGGGCAATTCTAATAATGCCCAATGCAAATCAGGGTGGGCAATTCTAATAATCCCTGCAAACCAGGGTGGGCAATTCTAATAATCCCTCAGGGTGGGCAATTCTAATAATCCCTGCAGGGTGGGCAATTCTAATAATCCCTGCAAATCAGGGTGGGCAATTCTAATAATCCCTGCAAGGCAGGGTGGGCAATTCTAATAATCCCTGCAAATCAGGGTGGGCAATTCTAATAATCCCTGCAAGGCAGGGTGGGCGATTCTAATAATACCTATAAACCAGGGTGGGCGATTCTAATAATCCCTGCAAATCAGGGTGGGCAATTCTAATAATACCTATAAACCAGGGTGGGCGATTCTAATAATCCCTGCAAATCAGTGTGGGCAATTCTAATAATACCTGTAAACCAGGGTGGCCGATTCTAATAATCCCTGCAAGGCAGGGTGGGCAATTCTAATAATCCCTGCAAGGCAGGGTGGGCAATTCTAATAATCCCTGAAAATCAGGGTGGGCAATTCTAATAATCCCTGCAAGGCAGGGTGGGCAATTCTAATAATCCCTGTAAACCAGAGTGGGCAATTCTAGTAATCCCTGCAAGGCAGGGTGGGCAATTCTAATAATCCCTGCAAATCAGGGTGGGCAATTCTAATAATCCCTGCAAGGCAGGGTGGGCAATTCTAATAATACCTATAAACCAGGGTGGGCGATTCTAATAATCCCTGCAAATCAGGGTGGGCAATTCTAATAATACCTATAAACCAGGGTGGGCGATTCTAATAATCCCTGCAAATCAGTGTGGGCAATTCTAATAATACCTGTAAACCAGGGTGGCCGATTCTAATAATCCTTGCAAATCAGGGTGGGCAATTCTAATAATCCCTGAAAATCAGGGTGGGCAATTCTAATAATCCCTGCAAGGCAGGGTGGGCAATTCTAATAATCCCTGAAAATCAGGGTGGGCAATTCTAAAAATCCCTGAAAGCTAGGGTGGGCAATTCTAATAATCCCTGCAAATCAGGGTGGGCAATTCTAATAATCCCTAAAAGCTAGAGTGGGCAATTCTAATAATCCCTGCAAATCAGTGTGGGCAATTCTAATAATCCCAGCATATCAGGGTGGACAATTCTCATAATTCCTGCAAATCAGGATGGGCAATTCTAATAATCCCTGCAAATCAGGGTGGGCAATTCTAATAATCCCTAAAAGCTAGGGTGGGCAATTCTAATAATCCCTGCAAATCAGTGTGGGCAATTCTAATAATCCCTGCAAATCAGGGTGGGCAATTCTAATAATCCCTGCAAATCAGGGTGGACAATTCTAATAATCCCTGCAAATCAGGGTGGGCAATTCTAATAATACCTATAAACCAGGGTGGGCAATTCTAATAATCCCTGCAAATCAGGGTGGGCAATTCTAATAATACCTATAAACCAGGGTGGGCAATTCTAATAATCCCTGCAAACCAAGGTGGGCGATTCTAATAATCCCTGCAAATCAGGGTGGGCAATTCTCATAATTCCTGTAAACCAGAGTGGGCAATTCTCATAATCCCTGCAAGACAGGGTGGGCAAGTCTAATAATCCCTGCAAGGCAGGGTGGGCAATTCTAATAATTCCTGTAAACCAGAGTGGGCAATTCTAATAATCCCTGCAAGGCAGGGTTGGCAATTCTAATAATCCCTGCAAATCAGGGTGGGCAATTCTAATAATCCCTGCAAATCAGGGTGGGCAATTCTCATAATCACTGCAAATCAGGGTGGGCAATTCTAATAATCCCTGCAAATCAGGGTGGGCAATTCTCATAATTCCTGTAAACCAGAGTGGGCAATTTTCATAATCCCTGCAAATCAGGGTGGGCAATTCTAATAATCCCTGCAAACCAGGGTGGGCAATTCTCATAATTCCTGTAAACCAGAGTGGGCAATTCTCATAATCCCTGCAAGACAGGGTGGCCCATTCTAATAATCCCTGCAAATCAGGGTGGGCAATTCTAATAATCCCTGCAAATCAGGGTGGGTAATTCTCATAATTCCTGTAAACCAGAGTGGGCAATTCTCATAATCCCTGCAAACCAGGATGGGCAATTCTAATAATCCCTGCAAATCAGGGTGGGCAATTCTAATAATCCCTGCAAATCAGAGTGGGTAATTCTAATAATCCCTGCAAATCAGGGTGGGCAATTCTAATAATCCCTGCAAATCAGGGTGGGCAATTCTCATCATTCCTGTAAACCAGGGTGGGCAATTCTCATAATTCCTGCAAGCCAGGGTGGGCAATTCTCATAATCCCTGCAAGCCAGGGTGGGCAATTCTCATAATTCCTGCAAATCAGGTTGGGCAATTCTCATAATTCCTGTAAACCAGAGTGGGCAATTCTCATAATCCCTGCAAATCAGGGTGGGCAATTCTAATAATCCCTGCAAACCAGGGTGGGCAATTCTCATAATTCCTGCAAATCAGGGTGGGCAATTCTAATAATCCCTGCAAACACTTTTTACCGGAGTGGGCATTTCTTATAACTTCTGTCTGTCAGGGTGGGTATGTATTATAATTCACCGGCAGGGTGGGTATATATTATAATTCAGACAGGTGGGTATATATTATAATTCACCGGCAGGGTGGGAATGTGTTATAATTAACCGGTAGGGTGGGTATATATTATAATTCACAGGCAGGGTGGCTATATATTATAATTCAGACAGGTGGGTATATATTATAATTATCCAGCAGGGTGGGTATGTATTATAATTCACCGGCAGGGTGGGTATGTATTATAATTCACCGGCAGGGTGGGTATATATTATAATTCAGACAGGTGGGTATATATTATAATTCACCGGCAGGGTGGGAATGTATTATAATTAACTGGCAGGGTGGGTATATATTATAATTCACCGGCAGGGTGGGTATATATTATAATTCAGACAGGTGGATATATATTATAATTCACCGGCAGGGTGGGTATGTATTTTAATTCAGACAGGTGGGTATTCTTGCAGCGAGTATTCTTTCACCCTGGCTCATGTACACTGATTGGGGATTTCTGCTGGTATAATAATTTGGGCTGGAGGGAGTTAAAACCTAGAATGTTAAAGGACCACTATAGGCACCCAACCACTTCAGCTTAATGAGGTGGTCAGGGTGCCTGGTCCAGCTAGGTTTAACCCTTTTTTCTATAAACATAACAGTTTCAGAGAAACTGCTATGTTTATAAATGGGTTAATCCAGCCTCTAGTGGCTGTCTCATGGACAGCCGCTAGAGGGCTTCCGCGACTCTCACTGTGATTTTCACAGTGAGAAGACGCCAGCGTCCATAGGAAAGCGTTGAGAATGCTTTCCTATGGACTGGCTGAATGCGCGCGCGGCTCCTGCCGCGCATGTGCATTCAGCCAAAGAGGAGGAGAGCTCCCCGCCCGGCGCTGGAGAACGAGGTAAGATTAACCCCTTCCAGCGCCCGGTGGGAGGGGGACCCTGAGGGTTGGGGCACCCTCAGGGCACTACAGTGCCAGGAAAATGAGTAATGGTCCTTTAAATCAAATCCATCAATAATAAAGTGTGCCAGGTTCAGTGCCCCCGTAATATGCCATAAAATACTCCCCGTGTGGCCAGGTTCAGTGCGCCCGTAAAATGCCATAAAATACTCCTTGTGTAGCCAGATTCAGTGCCCCCGTAATATGCCATAAAATACTCCCTGCGTGGCCAGGGTCAGTGTCCCCGTAATATGCCATAAAATACTCCCCGTGTGGCGAGGTTCAGTGCCCCTGTAAAATGCCATAAAATACTCCCCGTGTGGCCAGGTTCAGTGCCCCCGTAAAATGCCATAAAAT